CTTCGCAGCAGACGCACTGGGCCCGTGCAGTGTGTCACTCGTCTCATAGCGGCACAAGCTCTCAGTTTCTATACCGCACGTCATTCAGGAAGTTGTGACGGTCTGGTGGTATATCGACGACACCAATGTGCGCACTATGTTGTTCAATTAGATTTGATAGAGCTTCGCAAAGTACCATAGATGATACTGACAATGTGCCTGTCCAGGCCAAGGCAGGGAACGGCGCCTAGTCTTCGGACCGGATGACCACCGACCATGTGCACATTGCACCGCGGCGTCAACTCGAGACTGCCGGAGGCGGGTGAGTCGTTCCGAGTTTGACCAGAGACCGCTGGTAAGACCAAGCTGTGCGCAATGGGAATGCGTATCGCGTACAGAGCCCAGATGGACGAAGATTAAGTCACATTGGGCAGAACGGGGGGAACGACGCGGGCTGGAGGCCGACGATCAAGTCAGCATGAGGCAAATACTTAACCCGGCAACTGCCGAGTTTTCTCCCACGCCGTCTGTCAGCAATCGGTGCCCTCGAAAGCGCTCGTGCCTCTTCCTCCAACCGTCATGATGCATGGCACATAAAGTTCGCATACAGATGTCCTACTTCTCGACAGCCCTCTGGCGAATGGGATGAGTCAGAGCTTGTAGGTCACTCTGTCATTCGGATAATTCGAATCTATGGAACCTGTGCCAGTCCCGCTCAACTGATTCAACTGATGGCCCCGTAAATACGGTGCAGCGCCTTCAACCTCTGTCCAGGCGCAGAACCACACACTCGCACATACCATCTCATTGGCTCTTGCACAAAGTCATTCCTGCCGATTCAGGATCAAATGTGACAACGGGACGGCTGCCATTGGATGCTTTGCCCCCGCTCGCTGGACGCAAATAGAGCGTCGGCGCTTCTTATATCCTCTTTCAAAGTCGTGATGAGATGTATGTTGAGTTAGAGGGCTTTCTATGATGTGTTCTATACGCGCGCTCCGTGTGGCGTTCTGACGTGGGTCACCATTGTCGGACTCGCGCCTCCTCCAACTGCCGACAGCTCTCGGCAATGCTACATACAATAGGCAATGCAGTTTCTGCGTGCCTCGCAATGTGAGAACGGGGGCAAGAAGGCCAAGAGCGTACACGATCGGGGGTGCCTACGAATGGCTTAGCTCTTGCTCTAGGCCAACAAACCGACGGGTTTTGTACGTGACCACTTCGGCTAGAGCGAAGGGACTGCAGCACTTGTTGCCCGTCATTTGACGCTCATTATTTTGCACCCTCAGGGAGACCGAAGCAAGCATCTTCAAACTCCGCAGCGAGCGAACGATTTTCGGATTCACTTGTACTTGTCCTTGAAACCCCGGTTCGAAGTCCGCTGACGCAGTGGGGTGTCCTAAAGTTGCAGTAAGTTGCCCAGGTAGAAAATCTCCGGTGCTCTCAGAATTGTATTGAGCTAGAGTTCAATAGCATCTTGACCTGATGCCTGTCTTTCGTATTTTGCCCAGGTTGTCTCCGCTCCTCGGAGTCGATCATAGATGGCTATGTCATTCGTGAGTGAACACAGGACCGAGAGTTCAGGCCTCTCTCGAACCTTGTAAGCCTTCCGTCTTCTATTTTGGACGATGCAGTGCGTGCAATCTTGCATCCTTCGACCGGGATGCAAAGATGCCAGCAAATCCAGCAGCGAGAAGTCACTCTCGGAAGACATACGGCCGTTCCAGCGATGTCTGTTGCACTACAGCACCGTGCCAGACGATGGTTAACTCTCAATACGGACGAATCTGGGCTTCAACGGGCACGTACCGGACAGAGTCGAGGTGAGTTCTTCGCGGCATGAGCACATGCGCTTGCACCATGAGAAGACAGCGGCACTTGATGTCATGCGTGGCGAGACACGAAACGCTTATAAGCCAAGTGTAAAGAAGAAGCTGCAAACCGATTCAGAAGGTCAGCCTGTCGATCTATTTTGAAAAGCCGCAAGGCTCGAGAATCATGCCCAGAAGCATATGATGGAGCTTGCATCGACAAACGCTGAGAACGTGCACAGCTTCTAGGTCGAATAGGATCGAAAGGCCCGAGAGACCGAGAAAAAGCCTAAGCCGCGTGTGGCCCGTATTGAGAATGTACAGAAGGCAATCACGAAGAAGGCAATCAGGTGGCGCGGCGTAGCCATACACTCGACACCGCCATTCCACTGTGGCAGTAGGTCATCCTCATTCAAGGGATGGTCTTGGTGTTTGGCCGGATTTCCTTCATCTCGACCTCGGGAACCACTGCACGTCAGATACGCACATTCGCAACCATTCCCAGCGACCCCAATTCATTCACTCTAGAGATCCACGCCCTCTTTCTTACCGAGAGCTGTTGTCAGAAGATGGGCGACTGAAGCATGTAGCCTCGAATCTTCTAGCGCAAAAGATCATAATATATAAAGGGACGCCGGCGCCCGACTACATGCGCTCGGGCTCGCAGATAAGTATAACCGGATACCGATGATGATACGCGCAGCGCAGTACAATGGATCAGCGAGACCGAAGAACACATGGAAACTTGCAACCCAACGAAGCGGAGTTACGCGCCGTGAAGAATCATCTCGTCGATCCACCTATTCACGCAGAGTGCGAGCATCGCGTCGAGGAAGAGAACCTCGTGGTCGAACGAGAAGTGAAAGTGAGCGTAAACTGGACCGACTGCGGACTCCTGGATCTGGTTCGCTTCAACGTACTTTCCAATGCGGATGTCATGCTGTGTATAAAGCTATCTGATGGATAAGCACGGAAGGGAATCGAGGGTCTTGATTGAGACCCACATCGTATTTGCCGCGACCAACACGGCGCCAGACGAAGCGAGCGCGCTCCCCTTCGGTATCGAGCGAGTCAAACGCTCGGGACCTAGTGGTACGTATTAATAAGAGCGTACAGATAGTAAAGACGCGCCATAACTGACCGCTTACGGTAACCTTGCATGATGGCTAGGTCCGCCATATGAGTCGGGCGTCCGCACACAACACCTTGCCCGGGAGCACTGCCCATAAGCCAACGGAAGTTCGCTAGCTCTCGTCCATCGTAGCCGCGAACCTGAGCAACGTCAGGGTCGCTGACATCGGAAGGTACATGTTGTCAGAACATACGGTGGTGATTGTTTCGGACGTATAAACGGTTTCGAAAGAGAGGTAGGTGTCGGCAGGCACAAGGGCTGAGATAACACAACGACGAGGATCTCCAGAACCGGTGAATCGGGCCTCGTAGTCGAAAGTCATGATGGGTATAACAGGGTGGTGAGCAGGGCTGAACTTCGTCAACCGCAAGTTCGGCTTTTAAGGCTTATAGGCTTTGCACGATTACCTCGAGGCAATAAGGGGTTGTTCTCTGGACTTCATCTTTAATTGAGGTCTTGCCCCTACCATATACTGAAAAGAAGGCATCCGAGAGGCATCACATCTGTTCTGGTAAACCGAAACGTTTGAAGAATGTAGCCTTACCCGTGCACAGACTGCATTTCAAAGAGCAGCGCGACGAGCGCTTGTGGGATCTATCAGTATATGGTAGCACTGTCAATACGATCCCATGGGCAATACTCGAGAACACGCTGCGCACGCCTCCAGAGCGCCAGAGCGCCTAGATACATGCTTAATCTGCGTTCCATTTGCGAGTGATGGTCGCGATCTCTTTGAGATAGGACGTCTGTAGGACCCTGTCTCGTTTCTGGAACGTCAGATGCAACTTTGCTACAACATGGCACCACTTACAGGATCATTTGTGAGAGAGTGCTTTGGTTGGCGAGCCTGCCTTGTAGCTGCTGCGCCCCATCGTGTGGCGTACGCTATTCTTCTGAGTCTTCATGGTCCGCCCGCCATCCTCGCACATCGGGTAGCATGTATCAAATCGGGCCCTACCTACACTCAGTGAATGTCAGTTGACCCCATCGAAAGTCTGAAAGAGGCTTCTTCAATGCATGCCTTGCGCACAAAGATCGTCGTGGCTATGTCTCCAGTCTTGTTCAGTTAGAATCGCCGCGGCGCGGGGTTCTCGGCACCATAAACAAGGACGAATATAGCCTAGTCAGATGGACTTGTCAACTGTGGGTTCGGCGAAGGTAGTCAAGGCGGTGGTGTGGTGCATCGATAGCCACGTCTCAATGTATCGCAAGAGATAGACCAGTCTTGACGTGCGTGGGCAATTGTTGATATTCGATGCAGGAAGTCGCTTGAGGTCAACCACCTGCAAGGGCGTGAGTGCCCGCGTATAACCGTGATTGATAGATGGTGAACGAGAGAAGGTGCTAACGATACATGACACAGAATCGAAAGTTACAAATAGACTTTACTGTCCCCAACGCCCTCTGCCTCCCTGTCTCGAAGACGGGGGCGGCGGCTGAAAGAATGTCGGTATGCCCATGCCCATCATCGATCCCGCCATCTGCAGCTGTCCGCCCACCATCTGTACAGGCTGACCGAACAAGCCGGGGTTTTGTGACACCGGTGCGCCGAACGCGGGCAGTAGACCGCTGAATGGTGAAGGAGCTGTTGATGGTGCAACCGGTGCCGTCGAGGGAGCGGGTTCAGCATCTGGATCAGGTGGTGGCTTCCATCCCTACGATATCCCTGTGTAAGCCACATCTATACGTCAAGATGGCATCGCGACGCCACAAAGAGATGAAGTGGATGTTGATAGGCGCGAAGGAACGACGGGGATACGGCAAAGCCGGAGATGCGCTATGATTGAAAAGAAGAAAGGCCACTCACGAGTTCTCGGCCTTCTTTGTACACCTCCTCAAGGCGTACGTCGAATGCTCCAGGACCCTGCGCTTCGAGGTCTTGAAACGCTTTCCAGAGGCGCAATGCTGTCCGCGCGTCTTCGATACTATCATGAGTATGCGCCTAAGTGAACACGAGACCACGAGTCAGTGTTACTAAGTCGCCGTATTTGGAAAGACACGCGCCTGAATACGTTCATGGAGCACAGTCCACGCCAAGAAGCGCAAGCTGAGTCGCCGTTGGCGCTCGCGTATGAAATAGACGTCTACCGTGTCGATGACTTGATCTGGCGGGACGAAGATATCTGCAGATGTCATAATTCAGTGCTGTTTCATATAGAGATGGGAGTCAAAGAAACACGATAGAACGTACTGATGATACGGAAGTCCTTCGACAGTCCGTGACCAATGAAGATACAACCGCAGTCCACAAGTGCGCGCAGCTTCTTGTACACAACTTTGAGAGGTGTGAGGGTGTATCGGCTCACAGTCGGGTCGAGGTCGCCAAAGCTGACGCCGGAGAACTCCGTCAAGTAGTCGACGACGGCTTCGCTCGTCTGGACGTGATCGTCGATGAAGGCGGTTCCGCTCTCGCGCAATACACTCACACGCGCGAGGCCGAGTCGAGCTGGTCGAAGTACCGTGCGCGTTCCGTCGCTTCGGAACTCGGCTTCCTCTGCCTGCATCTGTACAAACTCGGCGTCGATGGCGATGACGGTACCGGGTGTAGGGCGCTCTGACGGAGCGAGAGGGACATGTTGGATGAGTGCAGGGTCGCGATTCCTGTGATAAAGGATCAGCATGAGCCCGAAGAGCACGGCGAGAAAGGAAGGGTAGGAGTGCGGCGCTAGCGCTACGGTATCATGCATCGCAGGAGCGGCTAGTGTTCATCGGCCTCCATAGGGGTTTTCATAGCGTACACGCCAATGCTTCTATGGCGCACAGAATCACAGCCATCCTCGGTGGATACGTTGCATGGCATGATAGAACACGAAGTTGTGTCTACGTGAGGGTGCGTGAGCCGCCCGCATGAGTTCACCATGAAAGCGCCGTTCTTCAACATAAGAACCGGATAGCCTGCCACGATATCCATGCACATATCGCCACTAGGTGGACAAACTCCCTCTTGCTGCGAAGATGAAACACCAGAGGAAATAACGCACACAGCTATGTTGGTATCCCTTCCCAGGATCCCCATGACATCCCCTTCCTCCTTCCCCGACATAGCCCCATAATCGACCCTTTCCTTACAATCGACTCTTTCGAAGTACAATATCGCAGGAACCTTCCATCGTCCGGCGCCTGGAGCAGGGAAGCTCAGCACCTCTGCCTCGGTGACGGGCTGCACCAGGAAGTCGTTGAAGAGATACCATTCTTCGTCGCTATTGGGAGAGACGCGGGCAAAGGAGACGAGGTGGGGTGTACGGCCAGGTCCTGGAGCGATCTTGACAACCATCGCACGAAGCTCATATTCGACTTCTTCGTCTACCCCTCCTGTAGTGCCTCGGACCGTCACTCGTCCTCCCGCCGGTAATAGTGCCTTCCCTCTGCCACGATCGGCCCAAGCTTCTGCGGCATCCTCTCCACTAGCGTTTGCATTGACGGCCAATACAGGCGGCAACTCATCCGCTTTCACCTCTCTCCGGCTTGTGTGCATCGCGCCACTCCTGCACATGGCACATGCCGCCCGATGTGTGATCTCGCGCGCCAGAGACGTTTCAAGTATCTCATCTAGTGTCGACGGTGAAGTAGATGTCACGGGCCCGCCAGCGCGAGGGTAGATAAGGTCGAGGATGTGGGCTGAGGACGGGCGAGAAGAGCGGGCGCCGCATTGTGCACATGTTGATACTGTGTGGCCTCCCAGACCAAGTAGCTGGGTGATAGGCGAGGGCGCAGATGATGCGGAGGGTTCGCCGTGTGGCGAAGGTGGCGGTGCCGCCATCGCCAACACAGCAGCGGACGGCGCGTTCACAGCGGCTGACGAGGCAGACGTCGCCTGCACATGCGCCGACGGAGTTGTATGCTCTAACGATGTAGGCCGAGAGATGAGGATGGGGTTGTGCGGCGCTGCGTTGCCCTCGATGGCGAGATGATCGACCAGGAACCGGTGAAACGATTGTATCATATCCGCGTAGTCCATCCCGGGCCCGCTACCGGTGCCGTAATCTACCAGCTCGAGCGCGTTCGCAGCTTGAGCTAGTCCGCCTGCCGTTCGACAGAAGTTCGAACTCTGACAGTTCCTCCCTCCCGCATCCTCCAACATCCTGCAAACGAACCCTAACTCGCAAAGTAGACACCACTCCCTCGCGCAGTCGGTGGCGATATGACTCTTCCCAAGCGCACGCAATGGTGGAGTGTAGTGTAAGGTCTGAAGGAGCGCATTGGTGTAAGAGTTCAAGATATGCGTTTCGAGCCCGCTATAGGACGTCCGATTGTAGAAACCGAAGTCGAAGTCTTCGACGCCGAAACGAGAGTACTCGATCTCGACACGGCGGTACTTGGACGGTACGCCATCCGCAGATACGACCTTTGACGAATCACCATCGTCAAAGCTTTCACGTTCCCTCTCCCGCGCAGACTTCTTCTTGCCGGCCGTGGACCTGAACCTCCCCTTTTCCTCCTCCCTGTCCACCACCACATTCCGCATCCCACGCAGCTCCCGCGGTAGAGGCGCGTACATGATTCCGTCGCTCATCTTGGCCGTCCTGAGGATGGACTCAGGGATCTTTGGAGGCGGGCGACTGGGCCGGCTCTTGAGATGCGCAGGCCAGGCGCTGAGCAACATCTGGTTGTAATGCGGCAAGCCCACGGAATTCAGAGGCGTTTGATCATCCCATGCAATTTCGGGGAGAGGCTCGGGCGAATCAGCCCATTCTACCGGTTGACCTTCGAATCCGTTGAGCGGCACAGAGGCATCTGCACAACTGAGCAAGTGCACAGCGCCATCCGCGTCTCCGAAAGCCATGAACGCGCCCGTGGGGGATACCGCAGCGCTTGATATGAAAGCGGGCGAGTCAACTTGGTAGAACTCGACACTGGCTGGGTTGGAAGTATCGAATATATTGACATGTCCTTGATTGGATGACACGACGAGCGAGTTTGACCGTCGTGGAAGAAGCGAGATGAACGCGGGGCCCATGGCAAATTGTAGGGGTGCGAGCGCCCGCATCGTGCGAAGGTCGTACAGTTTGACAAGCTGGTCTGGTACAGGGCGACCTTGACGTAGTCCCCAGCCGATAGTGTAGGCGACATGCCCGGACGATGTCAAACCCTGGATCTCCGATTGATGAGCCCGAACAGCATGTTCAGAGCCGGCTTCACGACGCATGCCTGTACGAGGATCGTGGAGGCGCAGAAATCCATCGGACCCGCCGGAAAGAAGTAGAGAGGACGACGAGAAATGCAGCTGGTTCGCAACGGAAGATAAGGAGGTCGTCCGGGTTAACGTGCCTGTGAGGGAGTTCAACAGTACGAGTTCAGGTGTGGGCGTCGCCGCTGCCAGCAAGTTTGACTGGGTGGTATGCGAGAAGGTCGTGACAGACAGAGGTGTTCTACGAGAAACATGAAGTTCTTAGTTGATATAGTGGATCGTTGTAATATCAGAGCGGGAGGTCAACCCACCTGTAATACCACTTGTTTACACCTCCCTTGCTCCAAGCGCCGACTCCTTCGCCACTGACAGCGCAAGCCTTTACAACGCTCTCGTCCGCGACCAGTTTCTTGACCGCGAGGTTCCCGCCAACTTTGAAGCTCACTCCGCGCAGGCCATGTGCCGAATAGTACGCTGCGATTGTACCCGCATTATTGCCTGTCCAGAGAGTGTCGGAGACGGGATCGAAGGAAAGCGCAGTGATTGGTTGCGGAAAGGCGGTGTAGGGGACTATGGGAGGTAGAGGCGTGTACGTCGGTGTGGACATGACATGGAGGTAGAAGAAGAGATGTGATCAACGACGATGTTGCTTGGGATGTATACTAAGTATGGCTCTAGCAAGACACTTTTCCAGAGTGTGCGGACTAGGTCACGCACGGCAACTTGCTGAAGGTTACCGTCAAAATATTGGTCTGTACCAGGCAAAGCCATCTGATCTAATCAAGCCAGAATCGAACATCGGGACAAGCCGCGAAACGCCGCCCAACAGATGTGGCGCTCAGAAAGGAAGTGGATAGATCTGCTCGCAAGTATTGTGGTATCAGCTTCTCTCTCCCTTCGTATATATTTCCAGTGACCTAAGTTAGTGGTGGTACGGGGGAGGCCGGCGACGTGTATGTAGGAGTGGGCACATGTTCGGGTTAGGGTTGGCTTATTAACGCGGTGCTGGTCCTGCCAGTGCTTGTCCTGGATCAAATGACGGTCATTATACCGCCCATGTCCATCTCCACTTGCATATGAGCGCTCGAAGATGCAACGCACAATGACGTCTACCCGGTCTGTCTTAGCGCAGTATGTCTCTTCTGAAGTTTCTCGCTCGTAACCACGTAGTAGTTGCGCAGTAGTGCATGGGGTTGACCGCGCGCTCAGGCGCTTGATTGATTTCTCTCATGACCGAGGTCACCGTAGTGGATCAGCAACTACCCGTTCTCCTCCAACAGCCGAAGGACTATGTTCAAATCCTAGAACGCCGCGATGATCCTTATATAGGTATGATACCCGGCTCCTGGCCTTGTGATTCAACGGGTGCTCAAGTTGAAGCTTGAAGTATGACCCGCATGCGCTCTTGAATCTCCATGCAATCAGTATGATACTCGGTTCCTCCATATACGAATCGCGCTCTATGCAGCTTCCAGCTTCCGGCCTCTGAGGCAACCCATGCAAACACACGGACGCGTGAGCCCAAATACGCTTCAGTACCGTATCGACAGAGCTCGAGTGTCACCATTTCATGATGTCGATCGCGATAGGATATTGATTGTACAGCTTCGTGTGATTCTTAGAGGTTCGCGTACCGACTATATCGCATATCTAGGACAAAGTTAGACACACATGACCGCGATGCATGGGAGATAGATTCACTTCTTTGTCCAGTCCTTGGCGGTGGCCAAGAACGCAGTCTTGTTGTCCTTCAATTGCTAGTCACGAACGTCAGCTAGTAGCACCTCTATACAGATAGATATACTTACCGCGGCAATATCTGGCATGAAAGGGTCTTCTGGTAGCGGGTTGTTCACCTTCTCTTGGATGACGGACAAGACGGTAGACATGGTGATCGTAGGTTTCCACTGAATGATACCGCATCAGAAGAGATTCTATGACAGACATAGGATATCGAACCTCATCGCGCAGTATAGGCACACAGATGGCACCCTCCTCGTTGATACCGGGGTGGTAGATCTTCGTCTGGAACGTGACCTGCACATCGCCACAGCGTTTAGCGGCTAGTCAGTTCACCAACCACAGGAAGACTTACAGCAGGGGCCTTGAAAGGAAAGTTCTCTGGTATCTCAAGCTTGAACTTGTACGTGCCGCCTTTATACGGGCTATCCGACTAGGACGCGTTTCAGTTCTCGCTGTGGCACGAGAAAGGATACTGAGAAACAGGTACGCACGTCGGCTTTGATGGCACAGTTCCATACAAAGAGGTTGTCGTCGAGCGGACTGACGGAGACGCCCTAGGAGATAGTCAGTGGTGATAGATGAACAGGAGCGCGTCAACCTACGTCGATAGGCTTGTTGGTAATATCCCTTAGTTCCTATGGCAAGATCGGAAGATCAGAGGGTGTCCAGAGCAGCCATTATATACCACACCTTCTGTATACGTCTAGCGCATATCTGAGGAGAGTCTGAGGAAGGTAGGAGGATAGGGCGCACCGTAGGGCAGTCATGATTGTGGAGGTCGAGAGCAAGGTGGCCGCAATCAAGCGCGCGACGCGCTTCGACGCGATCATGCACGCGCCCGTGTTTGATCCCATCAAACGCCACTTCAACCTGGACTTGACCGTCATCGTGCACCTATTTCGCTTACGCCTTTCGGCATATTTTATCTTCCGAGCCGACTTAGTCGAGTCTAAGAATTTTGTGACACAAGCAATTCTTTGTTCGCTCGGGTGGCTGCGGTCATAACTTGAATATTCGTCTGCTCTTGTCTACACTGCTACCATGCTCGCCGAAACAACCGACCACGACTCTCCTGCACCAATTGCTATCGTAGCCGCCCCAGTTCGACCACCAGCCAAAAAGCGCAAACGCGATCCCGCTCACTCCGCCACGGCCACTCCCGCCCCCGACGAAGACGAATCCGCCGGCGCCGTCCTAGTCTCCGACCTCTCGCAACGCCCGCGTCTCACAATATCCCGTCACCCGGGCTTCCTGCCAAATACGGATGGTTCACCGTATTATCATACGGACCCGCTCGCTACGAACCGTCTAGGCTTTCGATACGTCCCCGCCGGCGTCTCTTCTCCCACCGTATTCCGCACCATCGAGTCTTCGCCTACGTCCTACCGCGTATCGTGGGAAGACCGGTCTTCCGGCTTACGAGTGACGCAAGATGGTTTGGGCCTGCTAGGCGAGAAAGGCTTCCGCGGTGCAAGGTGCAATGCGCCAATTCGGGAAGGAAAATGGTACATGGAGGTCAAGATCGAACATGGAGGCGGGGCGCGCACACCCGATAGCACTGCGTCCGAGGGCGCTCACGTGCGGCTGGGGTGGGCGAGGAGGGAAGCACCATTACACGCACCCTGTGGGCTGGACGGATACTCCTACGCTCTTCGCGACAAGACTGGGGAGAAAGTGACGCTCAGCCGTCCGCGTCCTTATGGTCTACCCGTCAAATCAGGCGACGTCGTAGGGATGTATATCTCCCTCCCACCTCTACGCAAGCCGTCTACGGTAGACCAAAACGATCCTGCCCATCTCCATCGCGAACGCATCGCCATTGAGTTCAAAGGACAGGAGTACTTTGAAGCGCTCGAGTATCCGCAGTCCAAGGAGATGATTGCGCTTATGGACAATAAACCGAAGAACGACTCTGCTCCTTCGACCGCACCTGGGGCGAAGAAGTCCGCAACGGTCAAGAACATTCCGTCTACATCCCGCGGGACCGCACCACCCCCTAAAACCGAGGCACTCCGCCCTTTGCCTACGCTCGAGGGCAGTCAGATAGCGTTCTTCGTCAACGGACACACACCCGGCGCCGCGTTCAAGGATGTGTATGACTTTCTGCCGTTGAGGCAGGCTGGGGCGGGTAACAAGTTGTCGAGGGCGGAGAAGGATAGGAGAAGGAGGCAGAGGGAGGGTGCAAGAGGACATAGGCAGAATCCACACGATGACGGCTCGCTCGGCTACTATCCTTTCATCTCGCTGTTCAACGACGCGAGGGTACGGATCAACCCTGGACCTGATTTTGAGTTTGCCCCTCCGCCTGACGTCGATGCGGCCTTGGGTGGTAGGGAGGGGGAGGAAGAGAGGACATGGAGACCGATATGTGAGAGGTACAAAGAGTATATGGATGAGCAGTGGGCTCTGGACGACCTGGAAGAAGAAGAGCTTAAACGCGAGCTCGCAGCCGACGCTTTACTCGACGCCAACACATCTCATCCTGGCTCACCACGCCCGGACTCTCCTCTTCCACACGACACCACCCACGACTCTGACACCGGAGCAGATGGAGATGCAGACGAAGAAGCACGTGAGCGAGAGGCGCGTAAAGAGGCGAAGAGGTTGGCGAAGAATGAAGCTGATCGAGCGAGGAGGAGAAGGATCAAGGCCGAGAAGGATGCGGAGAGGGCGAGGGAGAATGAGAGGAAGAGTGGGTCGCGGGCGCCAGGAGCGAAGGATGGAGACGGTGCTTCGGCAAGGGGGTCGAGGGCGGGTTCTGTGAAGGAGGGGACGCCAGCGCCCGTACCTTTGAGCTCGCCGATACAACCACAGGTGACGGCTGGCTCACCTCCGCCACCTCCTCGAGCGCAACTCCCTTCGCAACTCCCACCGCATCAGCCTCCAACACCTGCGTCAACATCCTCGAGTCATGCTTCAGCCCCTCCACCTGCACAGCCTCAACCGCGACCAACTATGTACACCTCCGACCTGTCACAGATCGAAGACGAGGACTTGCGCCGCGATATCGAAGCCGAGCGTAAGAGAGAGGCTAAACGGCAAGCGAAGAACGAGGCGGACCGTGCCAGGAGGAGGAGGTTGAAGATTGCGAAGGACATGGCGAAGGATGAGCAGTTGCAGGCTGCTATTGCTGCTGCGACGGAAGGAGGCGGAGGAGGTGGTCCAGTCAATACAAGTCCTATGGCGACCATGTCTGTGTTCGATAGTCGTATGCAAAAGGTTGGGGTGCGTGACGAAGGACAAGATCGAGCAGGGGAGGATACACCTATGGACACTACATAGGATTGATATTCCCCTGTCATGCTTCCATTGCTTTCTCGACTTGCTTGACACCGATCTGTATGTACTACACATATATTTTGAGGCTTGCCGCCGGCTTGCGACGGCGCTCGGGGGTCGAAGCCCGCCACCATGATCTGCAACATTCGGTTTTCGACGGCATCACAGATGTTGATCGACTCTAGATACTTATCTCAAGTTGGCTCTTCGTCCTTCTCAAGCAAAGAAAGGAGCCTCCTTTCCAGTCAAAGCCGTACCCACGGCTGCCAAGTACGCGCGGAGGTTGCTCCTGCCATTTCTGGACACAAACGCCCATAAGGTTCAACAAATGATCGGACATCAAAAGAAAGCGGAAGCGCCGGTGCGGCGCCTTCCAGGGGAAAGTCCTGCTCGCGCGAAGTTCATCATCAAGGACCAGCTGGTGCGCTCTAAACGCGACGACCCGTTGACGAGCTCTTGCCTCTCACCACCGTCACCACCGTCGTTCATACCATACCCACCCTGTCCACTCGCTCGTTATACTTTCAGATAATTCACACAGTCAGCCAAACCCTAGTAACGAGTGTACAGGCGCCTCGTGTACTACACGTTGCTTGTAGCGCGCCCGGGGTCGCTCTGATTTCCTACGCCTCGCCTAAAGGCCAGCTTCTACTCCCACCTCGCTATTTGTCTTCCCGCATATCAGCTGGTACAGCAACGTGTTAGCAACGAGGCTTCGTCGGACGTCTTTAGCCCGCCATGCATCGATTCCGGTGCGCGAACTACGACCCTGGTCTTCCGCGTGTACATCTCTGCTGACATTTGACATTTGAACTTACAGCAAGTGGTCTGATCCAAGGAAGAGTGCTGTACCGGAGAACGCTAGGAATATTCCTAGGGACAGAAGTCAGCAGGCGCCAGAAGTCCCAGCCTTACCACCGCCCAGCGACTTTCGCACTTCGCTCATCCTACCCGAGTGCGTTCTCCCACATCCCCACTCCCTTCCCGGTTTAATCAAATGGATACCTACTCTAGCCTTTCTCGTCGTTTCTCCTTATTGCGCACCTCGACTGGTGACTTTGTCCCGCTGGACGACTTACGGAGTAAATTCGCTGAGCAACGTGCGCGAGGAAGTGAGAACGCCATCAGCCAGGAGGAGGAGGATATGTTACTCGCGACACTTGGTCGTCTCCGTCAAAAGACCTCCATCACTTCCTCTTCATCGCTCGGAGGAGGCGAATCAGGCTATAACTCCAGCCAGTCAAACTCCGTCCGTTCGAGTGATATCACTGTCAGCTCGTCGGCTGGCAGCTTCACTTCGCGCGCAAACAGGAGGAGGAGCAACAACTTGTTTGGAAGTGGGCGGTTTGCGGATGAGGCGTATCTTCGACACGCGCAGAAGGAGAGAAAGGGTTCAACGCAGAGCAGTGTCCTCTCTGGAGCTGGCTCGCGCTCTGGATCAGATGCGACGAGCAGCACGTACAAGAACACGGACTCTGCGGTAGAGGGCACAGCAGTAGAGGGTGCGGCTCTCGAACGTACTCTCAGCAAGATGCTACCCCGCAACCAACTCCATCGTGCGAGTATGGCGCTCGACGAGGTTATCAGGGAGATTGAAGAGGAAGCCGAAGACGGCGAGGATGAAGGCGATGATAAAGTGCTTGTCCCGCGCTCTCCCATTGATGCACGTACTGCTGCGTCTGTCACCGCCACGGCGTATACGTCGGAAGACCGCTCGACGCCCTCGCCCTACCCGCGTTCAAGCGACGCTTCCCCTACGCCTCGTTTACCCGGGTATATCCCCGGCATGCCGCGACCGATGACGCCGAGGGATTGGGAGGATGGAGCATATGATAGCGCCACACCGCGGGCGACGTCTCCGCAGAACAACGGGCCTCTTGGATCGCTGAGACGTGACGCTACAGCACGCGCCGCGAGTCCTTTGATGCTTAGCGCGTTCATGCCTATACCCGCCAACGGTCATCGGGACTCAGACAACGAGCTGGGCTACTCAAATGGCCGGCAGACGCCGGACGCCACAGTGCGCGCGCGAGGGCACGCACGGCACGATAGTGCCCTCTCATCTTCGTCTGGTCCTGGAGCCGAACCGGACGACTCGTTCATGGACTTTGGGACCCCTCCCGACGCGTCAATCTTGGGCGACCGCATGCGTCCTAAATCGCCCTTTGCAGGCGGCTCGCGACCGTCTACGCCATCTAACATCACTTGGCGTACACCTGCGAGTCCTGCGTCGTCATCGTTCGTGCCGGGGCATAGCAGGAACGGCAGCGCAGCATCCGACGTGAGCTCGAACGCAGCGGCTGTATACGGGCGCAGAAGGAGCGGAAGTGTACAGGGCTATAACAACTTCACTTACTCCGAGCCTGTCGAACGTGCTACGTCGCCCTTAGGGGCAAGATCCCTCCGCTCACCGCCATTACCTGACTCGCCCACCGGAGGCGCGGCGTTCGCCCCGTTTGCTGCACCTGACCCAAGGAGACCGCCGAGTGTCAACTCAGGTTTGGAGTTGGGCAGTCCGGCTGCACTTGTACATAGGCAATTGCGCTCGCCTACGCCGACGAACGCGAATGCCGTCATCAATGTAGCCCCGCTGAGACCGAGAAGTCCAGCGTCCCCTATCCGGCCACGATCACCAGCTTCGCCCGTAGGACGTTCACCAGCCTCGCCCGTCTACTCGGATTTCGGCGTCGATAGAAGCGCAAACAACTCCCGCGCATCCTCTCGCGCTGGTCAGTATGCGCTGAGGAATGGAGGAGGCTTCTCGTTGAACCAAGGCCCGCATGCATTATTGTTGAGTCCGACGTTTGGGAATAGTTCGAGGGAGAGTTTGGAGAGTACGGGGAGCAGTTATCATTCGAGGTCAGGGTCGGGAGACAAGGCGAAGGACGGGTTTGGAAGTGGGATTGGGGAGGGATTATTGAGCGCTATGGAGCCTTTGAGGCCGCAGTGGCATGAACTTGAGGTCACGCCGTCCACATCTACCTCAACGTCTTCCGGTCTTGGATTAGGCCTCGGAATCAGCATCGGCAACGTCGGAAATGGAGACGTGGGAACGATGAGTGCCGAACAAGCCGAGGAACATATCAGACGGCTCGCGGGGTTGACGAGGGGAGATTTTGTCAAGATGCAGGAGAGGCTGGTTGGGCATGCGAATGCCAATGAGGTGCATAGAGAGAGAAGGGACTCCTTAAAGAGGAGGAGGAGAAGTTTGAGTGCCAGTCAAAGTTCGGCGCCTAAGGTACGTCATTTCCTTTTCCTCGGCTGAATATCTTCTGATTACTGTCTACAGTTCGCTGAGGCAGCGCCGGAGCCCATGCGCGTGATGTCTCCGATTGATCCTCGGGCGAATGCTCTTCTCGAATCTCTGGTGGATGACAGGAAGCCCGTGCGACCCTCAGAACCACCTACCATATCGGTCACACTTCCAGTCACACAGCAACGTTCAATATCGCCTTCGCCGTCACTCGCTTCCAGCCCTAGTCTAAAGCGTCGCCGCGCCGCCCTCGCCGACGCTTTGTTTGGTGGGACGGAGTTCGATGACTCGCGCGACGTGGTGTCTCCATTACAGCCGTCGCCTTCAATCCTACCTCTTTCCCTCGAAGGCCAACGATCTGCTTCGCGCTCACCAGACATTGAGCGCCGTGAGCCACGTTCGCCTGACTTCCAGCCTGCTGTAATCTCGCCTTCCGACCCTGCACCAGACAGCCATACTTTACTGTCTTCGCAAGCAGAAGAAGTCAACGCGGAACGCTCGCCCGTCTTTGCTCGGTATGAGCGTCCCTCGAGCCCGGCTACGCCACAGCGTTCAGAACGGACTTTACGGTCCCCTATCACCGCACAGCACGATCGCGAGGTGTTGAGCTCTCCAACGAAGCAGTCGCCCCCCTTCGCGCATCAGCAGTACGATCCGGTCTCGCCTTCGGCTTCTTCTCCCGCACTACCCCTGGGCAACCCTACTGAGCTCGCGCTCGAGGTGCAGCGCCGAACCGATGTCGCCATGGCCATGATAAACAAGAGCCCTTCCAGTCCACATCTTCCCGAACAGCCGCATATTACACCCAAGAAACGCATCGACGTCAACTCGATCTCGCGGCCACAATTGAAATGGGCCTCGACGAGCGTCGAGACAATACCGATCCCGCAGAACGCTGTGACTTCTCCTTCTCCCGTGCCGGCCTCCGCGTCAACCTCCGCGTCCATGTCCGCGGCGACTGGCTCAAAGCTCGGCGGGAGATTCAAGAAACTTCGCGGTACCTTGCGCGCGAAGCCAGTAGTGCCCACTGGCGAAGAAGTCTCGCCGTTCACACTGATGACGCCTGGACCCACCTCTGCATCTGCTTCTGCATCTCTTGCCTCGCCTTCGGCACAGTCCATCATGTATAACCCTGGACAACTTGCGCCATCTGCACCTTCCGTACCGCAATCGGCACGCGCTGCCGACTTCGACGATCGTCTTCAAGGGTACTCGGTCACCACGCCTCCTGCTTCTGCGGGACCAGGGCTGAAGGGCTTTATGTCCCGCTTCCGCAAGAAGAGTCTTCACGAGTCCGCGGAGTCCGAGTCCCTCAATGCTCGGGCTGCAGCACAGTATGGAGCCAACACTGTGGGCCGAGTCGGAGGCGCACCAACGCATCTCGCTCCCGGTCGCCCGACACAGGTGCAGATGAACATCAGTCAGGAGGTGCACTCTGCGCCGGCGCACAAGCCCGCGTTCTCTTCCGACTCTACTTCCGCTTCGTCCTCGGCCCCTCGGCGTAGCTCTTCCATGCGCGTTACGGGTCGTGGCTCCAGTGAGGCGTCGCTCAGCCGAAGCGCGACCATGCGCGCGGCAATGATGACTTCGCCTCACGGTCGTGTGACACCCTCGCCGGTGGCTGAAGATGACTACTCGCCTCGGGAGCAGGAGCAGGAGCAGCCGGGCAACGACCAGGCGGCACTGAGGCAGCTCTTCGATGCGGCCTCCAATCTGGGACTCGACCAAGACGCGCTGTCGGATCTTCTTTCGCGCTCGACTTCTCTCTCTACGAAACGGACAACGGGTGCCTCCAAAGCTCCGAAGCATGTGTCCGGCCAATCTTGGGTCGACCCCTCGCGCGCTACCTCGCCGTTTGCAGCATCCGCCCGTGCAATGTCTCCCGTCTCAGACAGCGGCCGTCAGAGTCTGGACCAGACTGTGCGTATGCCGCTTCAGCAGACGGCCAAGCCCGAAGCTAGCCCCGCACAAAACCCTGTTGTTCGCAAGCAAGCTGCTCGTAAATCAGCCACGCCAACTGAGGCATCGCGACGTAGCACCGTCGTACGGCGCACGATCATCATGCCTTCCGATCTGCAAAGTCTAAAGGAGTTGCGTCAGTCCACGTTCGGCGGATCAGGTAGCCCTCAGCCCCCGCTCCCCACGCGCAAGGGTTCGACGCGCAGTCGCAGGCGCTCCGCTGGTGCGGCTTCCGTGCTGTCGCCTTCTGTTCACGATCGCGTGCCGACGCCGCCCCCGCCAAAGTCGCCGACAGGCATGCGATTCTCAACGGACTCGTCGCCGCCTCTGCCTCAGATGCCCTTCTCGGTACCCCAGCGTGCAGACTCGTCGGGCTTCCTCGCACCCCCACAGCCTATCGAAAAGTCAAACTCGACATACGACTCACTGTGAGTCTTATGAAAGTCTAATAGTGCTTCGTGATCCGACTCAGAGGTTTGAACAGATATGATATGTATACGAGCGATAGCAAGCCCACGATCTTGACGGTCGACACCGACCCTGACACGTCGGGTGGTAGTCTAGGCCTCGACGCACTCAATAACCTCGAGCCTGGCTCAGCGGTGGAAGTATTGGAGATGGCGAACGGCGAGACTGTCTGGTAAGTTTGCGCTTACCGTCGTATCGGACCGGCATCAGTTAATCGCTTTACTGTCCAATAGGTCGATCGTCAATGGTCTACGAGACCCTGACGCACTTGATGCTGAAGAGGCCTTCTATGGCAATCGGGCCAGTTTCATGTCAGAGTACTCGATGCGCGATGATGAGGGCGTACAAGTTTACTTCAAGGAACATGCTCGCAAAGGATCAAAGGACAGTGCGAGCTCGTTCCTCTCGCGCCATAAAGCACAACAAGAACCGTCCAAACGGCCCGAGACAAAGGTTCGTTCTCGTCTCCTAGTGCTTGAGGCAATGATACTAATATCTCCTGTAGGTCTTCTACAGTTCTACGGCACAGATCGGCCGCCTCATTGAGAACCTGTCATCTGGCTTGGGCGTCGACTCTGGCTCATTCAACATCGTACCTGGCCCTGGTGCACCTCGCTCGTACCACTCGGAGTCTTCTGCCAACTGGACAGTTGAGGAGCGTATTGAACGTATGCTTGCTTCTAACAGTAACTACTGATTCCCTTCTGCGCTTCGCTCGGTTTTTCGTCGTATATCTTCCTTTGCATCTCTCCCGATCTCTGCTCATCCCTCTTCTGGTTGATATGCTCGTTCATATGGTGGATACCCTTCTCTAGGCGTAGATTTGTTACATTATGCTATACAACACTGCTTTCCTATTCGTACAACGCATTTCTTTGGTGGCAAAACAGTACACGCGACATGAGCCATTTGTATCGATCTGATAAGACGAACGCGGGTCTTGTGAGGCGAGGCAGTCGAGAATGAATCCCGGCTCAGATCCGGCGGTTCATTCCGTCCAAGAACCTGTTGATGCACAGAGCAAGCATGGCATCCACCAGCAGCCCATCACTCCCGAAGTTGTACTCGAAGGTCGCGAAGGTGGTCACGCCTGTGGCAGAGACCTGCGGGCCGTGGTAGCGGTAGTAACCGATCGGAACGTGCGACGGTTCGTGCACAAGCTGTGAAGGCTTATGAGCGGCCGCCGGAGGTTGAAAGTAACGCTTAAAAACGCACATCGTAGGAGAACCTGGTCCCAGTGGCGGTACCGGTAGGGTCGAGCACACGGATCCAGGCGAAGTTAGCTTGAACACCGTCGTCGCCGGTTGAAAGGAAGGCCCGGGTGCTACAGGAGACATGAGCATCTGCGGATCTAATGATCGTATAGCGCACTGACCCTTCAGGACGATTGGTGATATCCGCCAGCTGCCCCATGTGCGGTTCGCCTTGCCGCGTCCTCGACGTGAAGGTCCCGAGAGCCGTGCCGAACCACCGTAGTTCAGCAAAGACTTCTCCGCCACCTGAGGTATTGGCGTTGGCGTTGACAGCACGATGCACCTGTCGCTCTGTCAGAATGTGCATCGCGAGCAAATCAGACATAAACAAAACATGCCTGAGTCACGACACGCCCGTCATAGCGAGAAGGAGGGGTGTCGAAGGCGATGTATAAGTCGTTCCCGGTTGGGCTCTGGCCGATGATGAAAGCGTTATGGCGCGGATCAGGACCGCCTCCGAAGTGAACGAAGCGCCTGGCCATATGAGTCATAGATGAGCGATGCGAAGTGTGGATGAGATGTCGGTAGGTGAAGAGCAGCCTGAAGCAGACAGTAGGCAGGCAGGCCGTGTATCTCTTTATACCACACCTCGGTGGTCTCTCGCATATATTGAACTCGAGGACCTGGTCCAGCAATGACCACTGAGAAGTCAACGTGAGGACTGCCCTCCTCGAGGTTGGAGCACACCTTATCGAACTCACCCTATCGTGACAGAGCGGATGCGTAATGTCTCCCAGGCATACTTCCAAAAGGGTATACCTGCATAGTCGTATTTCATGTATTTCCATGAAGAGAGAGGATGCTTTCGGCAAGAAAATAGAACTCTATCGTATTAGAAAGAACGACGATGTTGTCAAAAGTGACGATGACCAGCGTGCTCGACGTTCTTAGACACCGTGAATACTTCAACCGGCGATACAGTAGGTTTCGAGTCTGAGAGGGTTCATCTGTAGCACAACCTAAGCCACCAACCGTATGGACGCGAGGCTGAAAAGGCCGTTGGAGGTGTACATTGAATTGAGCCTTGCGGAAGCGAGATTGCTTTCGAAGGGCGCATTTGCTCTATATCAATGGAGCCAGGAAGCCGGTGTACCAGACGCATGGGGATTGAAACGACCGGGACGATATGCCCAACTCGCATCTTCGACTCCGGGCCCACAGAAGCCTCAGGACGCGTGTTCGCAGGACTGTATAAATAACCCTGGGGAGAATTATCCCAGTTTGGGATGCGGTCGATCGAGAGAACATAGGAAGGTGTTTCGCATGCTTGACACGGCACGTTCGCGAGCACGAGAGGTCTATCATCACGTTGAAGCTGGCAGGCGGATGGTTGGCGATTCGCCGCCCCATGACAATCTCGCGGTCCATTCTGAGTAGTTGCAGGCGGACGACCAAACAGAAAGGCCCAAGCCTGATGCCAGACCGTCATGTCATAGCGTCCTGGAAGTATGTTGAGGGTGACACCGTTTAGAATCGGACAGAGGGTCCCTGGCCAGAAGAGACAACCCGCGAATCCGGTGCGAGAAGATGGTTATAGTTTTCCACGATCTCATCATGAGCACGTGCATGCAATCAGCGTTTCCTTCGGCACATTCCGCAAGATGGCCAGTACGTCGTCCCCGGGGCAAAGAACTACTGACGTTTGCTTATGCACTTTACGGCTCCGTCACTGAAGCGGCGAGAGGAATGTCAAGAAAGGGTCTCACATACTGTATCTGGTCCTGATGTAGACTGCAGCCCCACTTCGCCGTCTATCTCCGGTTTTGAACAAGACACTCAGGTTGAGGTTGAATGTGGTATAGATAGTGCCCGCCCAGGACTACGGCCACATACATTCGAGAGACGGAATAGGATCATATTGGCTATTTGGGAGTTCGACACATTAACTCGTCATAGGTGAGCACAGACTCCGAGGAGTTGGACCAAAGAATACGAAAGACAGCTTCTGCGCGTCGCACACGCAGTGGGAAACGTTCCCTGTGCGTCACTTTGTGCGTTGGTGACGACTAATGCAAGCTTCCCCGGCAACTCATCGCACGGCGACCTAGTTGACAGTAATCGTGGGTCTCTCCATCCATGTGGTCAGAAGAGCGAGATCGACAACGTCTCCGAAGCCTTTGACCGTCACGTCGACGAAGTGTGTCATGAGGTTATGCCTCACGCCCTTCAATCGGGCGTTGGAACCGCAGATCGGCGGGCATTGTGGTGGGGGCATTTTGTATTCACACTCCTTCGCCATATCTTCTTGTGGCTCGTAGGGTTGTGAAGCGAGCTATCGTCATATCCGTCAAAGGAAGCCGGAACGGTGATCAAACAGCAGTATTACCATGTGCGAGCGATCAGAGGCGAATTCGTCCAAGAATACGGTTGCGGGAACGACTCGGAAGCGACTAAGAGAAGAAAATGCATTAGAGAATAGAGGACTTCGAGAAGGACAACTCTCAGCTGTACCTCGTGTATTTATAGGAGCAGGGCATGAATGTTTGGCTGAGATAGTCTGGTGGAAGCAATATAAACAGCTTCAGAGTCAATGAGTTGGCGGGAAGATAACACTTACCACGAGCTTCACAAGGCAAGCTCAGCGTCGTGTCCATATCGTAAATCCAGGCAGAGGGCGGAGATGAATGCGATTCTTCTCCATCCCGACTCTTTGATCTGGCAAGGAGTACGACATGGTAATCCCAGACAACGACGTCCGGCCGGGCTTTCTGTCTCCATAGTGCTACCTAAGGATGTCGTCACAGATGATGCGGAGTTAAGAAGAAGATAAGAGTGAACCGTCTTGTTGGCGTTCGACACGAAAACGGCATAGATGTGCCAGATGCGTACAATTTCGGGGTCGGACTGAAAGTGTCGAGCAAGCATCCATACGTTCTCTTCACAGTAGCAACTCGTATAAGGAATTGAGGGTGGAATAGTAGGTAGAAAAGAAAGTAGCTCGGGCATCCTCGTGTTTATCCGCGCCAGGCGAACGAGTACGACGACGGTGATGGGCGCGAGTGGTCAAGAGCACGGTGAGGGAGCGGATGGGAATCATCAAAATCAACCTCAAGAACACGCGGCCGGCCCGATCTGACAAGGCACGCCTATGAGCGCTCGAGATCAAGCTTCCGTTACACCCGCGCCGACTTCCGTAATGGAATTCGGAGAAGTCGACGGATCTTACAATTGTGGGGCGCTTAAGGGACCGGATGCGGGGTACGTGGGGTAGATGGCCCAGAGGGACTGACGTCTGAGACAATGCACGCAAGATAATTGAAGTCGATTCCATTACATAGAGCAGATAGGAGATATAGAGCAGAGCATACATGGGATGAAAGCAGCAGTCAAACGTAGAGATGATAGATGGTGTTACAGATATATCTTGGATGCCAGGATGCTAGAAGATCAACATGTGGGGTCAGACCGGTCAGCTAACACAGAAACAGGGTATGCGCGCACCATGGGGTATCGGGTATCATGAAGAATGGATGGCAAGAACAACGAATCCGGCGTTGTGCACTACTTCCGCGCCCATTGCGAACCACGACGCTTGAGTAGGATGTCCTCCAGTTCCGGCGTTGGCTGCCGATCGGGTGTGAATGGCACGAACACGCCCGTATCCTTCTTGCGCGACGGTGGAGTCAAGGGTGTGCGCGGCGCTGAGGGCGCGGGTGACACGAGTGGCGGGGAAGCGGATCCCCCGGCAGTCATGAAGGTCGACGGCACAGCGCGACCGTAAGGCGAGGGTGGAGGCGGGCGCGCCATCAGGCCGCTTGTGTTGGTAAATGGATGCGCGGCGAAGGGGTCGAAGGACGCAAGGGGAGAGTGCGATTGAGTCATGTTTGCGTAAATGGAAGTGTATTTGCCTCAGAGAGGATGGGGAGTAGAGGATGTTTGAGAGGGAGACGGATCCGACCAGCAATTATAAGTACGATCTCATCGACTCATATGCGGAAATCTCCGATAACGGGCCGCTGGGTGGTTGAACGGAAGGACGACATCGGGATCTGGTTAACATGGTTCAACGTTCAACAGCGGGGGCCGTCAGACGCCGCCAGGGTGCGCGCTGGCATGTGATGCATCCGGCACGCGATTTCCCTTGGTCCTCTCCGCACATCAACAACGGCTACTCGGCCAGTACTCACAGAAGCTGTCACCTGATGGACATGCTGCTTGCCCCAAATCTGCCCCGAGGATGTTAGCGTGTTCACAAAGCAAATCTACTCCCATAGAAGACTACACGATGCACAGCAGCGCCTACATACCGCCTCGTTTTTGCGTCGTAGTCAGACGTGGAAGGGAAAACACAAGAGGGTGACAGAAAATCCGCGCCTATGAATCGGGTTCGTCGAGGGGTCTGNATCGGGTTCGTCGAGGGGTCTGACAGGTTTTGATGAGACATGACAGGCGCCGCGAGCGCGGGTCGCCGAGCCGTCGGCATGGTGTTGCTTGTCTCATGGCGTTTTGACTACGAGTACACTACATATGAGCCAATTTTGCATACAGAGTGTACGATACGCGTAGTATACACATGACGAATTATTTTGAGAGTTGCCCACTGGGCCAAGCTCTTTCTGGGGGCCAAACGGGCTCTGAGGTGCCCACGGCGCTAAACCTCGCGCGCGCGCGAGCGGCGTCATTTACTTCTGGCCGCCATACAACTTTCCCAGTCACTCTGCGTACTCAGGAGCGGTACTTTATGTATACACCCATAGTCAGATCGCAGCCGCCTAAGCATTGAGGATGATGGTAGGAAACGAGACGAGAGGGCAAGAGCGTCGCGTTCTGCGCGGTTCGCCGCCGCTCACGCGCGCGCGAGGTTTAGCGCCGTGGGCACCTCGGAGCCCGTTTGGCGTCCAGAACGAGCTTGGCCCAGTGGGCAACTCTCAAAATAATTCACGATGTGTATACTACGCGTACCGTACACTCTGTATGCAAAAATGACTTATATGTAGTGTGTTCGTAGTCACAACGCCATGAGACGAGCAACACCATGCCGACGGCTCGACGACCCGCGCCCGCGGCGCCTGTCATGTCTCATCAAAACCTGTCAGACCCCTCGACGAACCCGATTCATAGGCGCGGATTTTCTGTCACCCTCTTGGGAAAACATGTCTTTACGGGGTGGTGATGGGACTGTTTCTTACGTCCCTCGACCGTAAGCGCGTAAGCGGTCGTGCGCTCAACGGCGATGCGGTGTTTCGTCGCCCCGTAAACGTATTCGAAGGGGTGTACGAACCGACGTACTCGGACTTCCTCGGGAACATAGGGGAACACCGTTGAGTTAGTGCGGTCCGTCGTGCGCATTCTGATCAAGCTCTGAAAACACGGGATGACTGTAGGGCAAGGGGTGTGAGATTATTGTGGCGGACGGAGTGCGGTGGAAAGCCTACGTGTAGTACGTCGAGGGCCACAAGTATATGGGGGGTCAAGTCCACCAAGACGCCGTTCTCAGCATTGTGACGACTGCGGCTTTGGCCAACCATACATTAATCGGGTAAGTGAACCTTCGAGCCACTGGCAACGCCGAGAGGTTGACCACTTCATCAAGGTTGCGTGGCTCTTATGAAGCTTTGCACGCAACGAGGCTTTGTCGTATCGCAAGAACTACGATGACCTTTGGATGACCTCATCGACTTCGCGATTCGAACTTCACCGACGACGTCCAGACCCTATGTTTCGCACCGTAAGTTGTATGGAGAGATCTCGGATTCAGGGCAGAGAAGAACAGACGATGTGCATCCGAGGCACGATGGTAGATTAGCCTAGACAGCAAAACCTTCGGGGATGACCTCACTGACGTTCGCCGTATCCAGAAGTATGATACAGAACTTCCTATATCAGGCGAAAAGGTTGTGTCCTTTCTGCAGTTCGGCGGCGGTCGGGACGAAGTGTGTAGGGCATGAGATGTAGAAGTGCAGCAGCATGGCGTATGGTTGTCAGTACACGAGCCGTTTCCCCCGGCGGAGCACGATTGCAATGACTGGTCAAAACCCGACCGGTGATGATCGACAATGTCTACATCGGCACATATCCAATACAGCACGGTGAGTCCAGGCAAGATATGATGTAAACATTCGTACTTATGGCAGGAGTGACAACAAGGCTGGTACAGGCGCCTATGTAGTGTATTTCGATTACACCTAGCCGTCGCAGCCGATGGCAATATGTACTCGGTATGGCTATTATAGGCGAGGCAAGAACGATAGAAGATTGCACGAACTTCTCGCTGAAGTTAGCATGAGCGTCATCATGGTCAAGAGCAAAGCACATGGCGGGAGAACACCGTCACGACGGCGACGGGACGCGCAGTGGACGCGCTCGCTCAACACGGTCACGCGAGTTGCCCGCCCATCTTGGCCACTGAGGGGATCCGAACTAGCACTGGTGCCTCTGATAGACTTGTAGAGGCGTGATGTCACTGCCTGCACACCGTTCTGCAACGAGCCGATGCAAGAGAATGTGTCTGACATTGTTGCGCGCCACATCTACACGCACATCGTTGTTCACTACATCTATAAGTACAGCATGGGAATCAGATATTACAACAGTATTCAAGTTTCGAGTCCGGCGGTCAATTTCGTCAACCCACGACGTTGACCTCGCGCGGCAGGCGCGGCTCGCCCTCAGCGTAGGGCTGGTTCGTCTCCTGGCGCAACATGTCCGTGAGCCACTTGCCGTTCGGCTTGATCTTCTCCCCGCGCGAGTACATGACCGCGAGGTAGAGCCACGCTGCGGCGTTACCAACAGTGCCGACCTCATCGGACACGTTCTGGCGCGCAAACTCGCTCATGGTCTTGTAGAGCTCCTTGTTAGTGTAGAGCTCGACGAGGTGCTTAGCGACGGCCTCGTTGTCGCCCGGCTCGCAGAGATAGCCGGACTTGCCGTGCTGGATCTGCAGAGGAATACCACCCGTACGAGAGGCAACGACGGGGATGCCGGCATGCAGCGCCTCGGAGACCTTAACTTCGAAGCCCTCGCGCGTCGAAAGTTGAAGAGCAATCTTCGCGTTTGCCATGAGCGCATTGAGAACTGTATACCAAGTCAGCAATTGAGTCGATACGCGAGTGAGCAAGGTGTGAACATACGTTGGTCGCTTGGCGGAAGGCGCATGAGAATGATATCCTGCTGGTAGCGCTTGTACTTGTCGCTCGCAACGAGCTGCGAGATCTGGTCATAGATGATGCTCGCATCAGGGTCATCGACGGCACCATGACCGCAGATAAGCAGCTGGGGCGAAGCAGCGCCATCGATGCCCTGCTCCTTGAGAATGTCGCGCATGCGAGTGTACGAGTCGACCACGCTCGGGATACCCTTACTGGGGTCGAAGCGGGCAACTTGCACAACGTACTGGCGAGCGGGCCATGCCAATTCGCGCATCTTCTCCTTGGCGCAGAGTCCGCGGAACTCGTTCATGTAGAAGGCACTGTCCCACTCGTTGAGGTCCTTGTTGAGACCATCGAGCCAGTCGGTCGCAGCGCCGAGAAGGCAAACCTTCTCGAGCGGGACGTCCGATGGCACGAACTTGGACACCGGGTGAGAGATGAAGAGATCCGCAAGCTTGATGTTCTTGTAGAGGTAGTCCCACACTTCAGCCTGCGGCGAGCCAGCCTTGTGCACGAGGTCGGACCGGATCTCTGAGCGCTAGTGAGTATCGTGGTGGAGTTACGACAGAGCGTGGACTGACCAATGTGCGAGCGGTAGATAACTGGAATCTCGGGCCGCACTTTGCGGATGAGGGGAATGAGGCCTGGCATCTGCGGGTCGTCGATGAACGCGACGTCGACACCGCCCTTCGCAAGCGGGCCACCCTCGGCAGTCCAGCGAAGGCCGTTCTTGAGGATCCACTCGTCGAACGCGGTCTTCTGCTCCTGAGTCAGACGCAGAGACGGATCCGCGACGCCTTGCAGGATGTTGTGGTTGTTCTTCGTCGTGCGGAAGACGGCCGGCGACGGGTTGGGCACATACCTACGAAAGGGTCCGATCAGAATGCGGGGTAGACGGAAGTGTGGGGTTCAAGGGTGGGGATTAGTTCGAAGAAGTCCTCACCAGGCGACGTCCACGTCCAGTGCGGCAAGGAAACGGATAAGCGCGTGCCGCATCTAGGAATCTCTCAGTACCGTGTGCGTCGAACCGGTGAAGCATCTCACAAGAGCGACACCACCTGTCAAATGGCGGCGATCAGTAACTCAGAATGTATCGACGAAGAGAGTAGACCGCTTACCGCCTTGAGGCGTGGACGAGAAGAAGCCGATCTTGACATTGTTCTCGCGCAGCTCGTTGGCCAGAGCGATGACGGCGTTCCAAGTACCCGGGCGGCAACTCTTGCGGTACTCCTCAAGATCGTCGATAAGATGGATCTTGCCGCCGGCGTCAACAGCAACCTGGTTGCGCGGGCCGATGCTCAGACGCGGGTTGTTGTTGGGACCGAAGTACATGATCGCCTTGCGGGCCGCAGAGTCGGCCTGCTCATCGATTGTGCGTGGGATCGGAAGCTTGCCGGTGGCCGCATTCGGGTTAAGCGTAGAGTGGTCGACGTAGACGGTCGGGGTTTGAACTCCGCTGGGCACGTAGGAGCCAGTGGTGGAGGAGATACGGTGCTTGATGTTCGGGCGCGTGAGCGAGTCGGTGTGGAAGGGCTTGATGTTGAATACGATCGGGACGATGTCAAGCTCAAGCCACAGACGCGTGCAGAGATTGGGCGCCTATAAATGCCAACACGCATTAGCGCCGTTCATCTCACACAAAAGAGCACAGCATGGCTGTCGTACATCGCGGAGAAGTGCAACAGTGACACCTGCACCGAGGAACTTGCAGAAGTGCTCCTCCTGGAACTTGCGGATCGATGAGACGACGTGGGTCTCGATCGTGTCGCTCTGCTTCTCGGAGTCGTTGGGCGTGTACGGGAGCAGCGTCGAGTTGAAGTCTGTGTTGTAGACCGAGTCGTGGATAGAGAGCGCGACTTCGTAATCCTTGTTGCCGTTCACTGGGGCGCCAGCGATACCCGCCCACATGGGCTATACCGCATGTACATCGTTGAGCATCCGGACACAATACGATCAAAAGGCGCTACTAACAGTGAGCGAGTGCAGCTTCTGGGCCTCGGCAGCATGCGAGGTGAACTGGTGGTGTTCTTCGGGCGCAGAGGTGGGTGCCATAGTGCGCGACAAGAAAGGACGGGGTCAGAATTGGCGCCAGGCGGGCCTGCCGTTTATATCACTTCAGGTGATCTCACATAGACCCGGCAAGGTCCACAAGCCTCAGGAAGCCGGACTGGCGCTCCAGGTTTGGCTCGACCTTTGCGCCCATCCCTCGAGGCGATCCACGCAGCCTTCGCGCTGTACTTCTGACGTTCATTTTCGAACGTGTAGCAGTCCAATCACCGGCGAAGCTGTCTTGAACGAGCTGGTTGACGAGCTCACTTGCTTGGTCGTCTGGCAGGCTCACGCGCACGGCCACGGTCGGCGATGAGAGTGAACGAACGCGTAACGTCAGGTTCACACGGGAAGTGTCTTTGACGCGCGCCACAGCAACTCACCGCGATCAACGGCGACTTGACCACAACCTCGATGATCCGTTGCGAGGCCTGCGGCGCCGAGGCCGTTGACCTCGACCTCGACCAGCCCGTATGTACAGAGTGCGCGACACTGCACCGTGGCGGACTTGTCAAATTAGTCAATACAGAAGATTACGAAGGCAGGTACGCGCAGGACGCGGCTCCTAACTACGCGCCACTACAGGCTCTCAAGAGCGTGCGCAATGATGGTTGGGACATCGCTGGGCAAGGAAGCGTGCCAACCCATGAACGTAACACGGTACGCGCCTCGCTCTCATGCTACCCGTGGTAGCGCTTGCGCTGACCCTGCGACATTCCATAGCTGTCCATAAACAAGTTCATTCAAAGCCTTGCGAATATTCTCGGCCATCCCGGAGTTGCGCCGCGGGCGCAACATCTCTTTGCAAGAGCTCGTGAGCACCCCGATACGCACATAAGATGGGGCAAGGCGGCGGAAGTCTGTGCTGGCGCCGCACTATTCGTAGCACTTCGGGCGGAAGGCTACTCCGACCGCACCGACGAGATCGCTGTGAGTATTCTTTCCCTTCTAGATTATGTTCGTTCACCGCAACTGGCTGCCGCCGCTCAGACCCCCTTCTTGGCTTTCTGATTACGACCCTCTTCGTCCATGGATATGGGTTTGCTGTGGTTAGCCCCGCACAATCACGCGACGACTGAGGCGCTAGTTTTCTTGGACTACGAATGTCCGAAGTGTTGGTGGCGCAGCGTCGTGTGTACCATGCTGGTGTACCCTCAGCATACGCCGCGATCTTTTACGAGGAGCGTGGCCCGCTCTAAAGGCCTATTCATCCTCGTGACCGTAGCAAGGCCGGCGGCAGGCTTCCCAAGGAAGTGCGTTCATTTCGATCCCGGATTGACGTCTTGAACGACTTCGTCTTCTTTTCCCGCCAACATCTCCGCAAGAGCTAACCCTGTACCCACAGGCACGTTTGAATGTTGAATCGAAGGACATCAGCCGAGTGCTGCTACGCTTCTTGAAGCAAGACGACTCGGCAGTTTGGAACGTGCGCCTCGCACCATCGACCGCGGACAAGTTTCTAGACGCAACCCTGCTCTTCCTCTGCTCGGACACTGCTTCATTATCGGCCGAGACAAGCGCATTCGTGCGCCCGCTCCTTCCAAGCGCACACCGCGCCATTCTAAAGACCGCGCATGCCTTATATGAGGATGTCATGTGTCCATGTGCCACCCCGGATGAGATTGAGCGTGCTCCAGCAGTGGCCGCCGCGGCGCTTGTCATCCTCGCTCTCGAAGGACACGCCGGCAAACCAGCGCCCCATGTATTGAAACTTGCGGGTGTACTGGGCTCGCGACCGGGCGTCAACGTCCTGGGACCGGCTGTGATGGAACGATACCGCCGAGTCCTCGACGCGTTTGAGACGCGAGCAAAGAGCGTGCCCTTCATCGATGTGCACACGCCTAAAGCAGGCAGGCAGCGCGGAGGCGCGAAGACTGACGCGCGTCGCGCCCAGCTGGCGAGAAGCGTTCGGGACGCGCTTGCCTTCTTTGCATCCGAGCGAGCGCGAGGAGTTGCACAGGCCGAGACCGAGATCGTATTTCCTTCCTGGGAGAATGGTGAAGACGATGAGAAGAGTGATAGGGACGCGTCCTCCGGCAAGATGAATAGCAAGCGTGCTACTCCTGACAGCGATACCTACTACGATGGTCCTCGAAAGAGGTCTAGGCAGGGACCGCGCACCACACATGGTCGCGCTCGTGCATTCTTGCTCGATCCGTCAGTCAACGCGGAGGCACCTTGCCTTTCAGCCTCTACGTATCTACTTGCGCCGCACGCCCATCCTGAGAAGCATCAGCCGACACGTTTGCAGCAGCTGTCCGCGATGAGAGGCGGCGGAGATGCTGTCGAAGACGATGAGCTGTTCGCTGATGGCGAATTAGAGGGCTTGATCATGCAGGATGATGAAGCGGAAGTTGGCGACAGGCGCAGAGTGCTCAACACGCTCGTACCGGTGGCAGAGAAGAAGAGCGTCGAGCTAGTGGAGAAGCATCTCACAGCCGAGGAGCGTGCGAAGCGGAGGGGTTTGGGTCGCATGAACGTCGAAGCGCTCAGAAGGGTTCTCGGAGAGAATGGGATGTCGACGGAGGACTCGGATTCTCTGAATGGTTTAGAGCTTCTCCGCTGGAGCGAGGATGATGATTGGGCGGACGGAGACGGCTCGGACGGCGATGCGAAGGAGTATGCCACCCACGGGATGTCTGGAGCTGCAGGAGTTGAAGAGGTTCTCGGAGATTGGCGACCGCCATCTCCAGGGGTAGGAGGCACTTTCGGCTGGGACGGAGATTGGTGATAATGGTAGACTGGCTTGGACATTTCCCGGATGTATACCCGTACCGTGTAGCCGTTCCTAATTCTTAATGCGTCTATACAGTATTATAATGATAATGACGTTAGGCAATCGCCTTTGTTGCTCCGAATCGACCGAACAAGCCTTTCCCCAACGGAACGAACAGATACCAAGTCTGGATATAGAATCAAGGAGGCGAGTCTGAGGCAAGCTGCCCGATGATGCCTGGTCTTCTTAGAGAGCCTTGTACGATTTGCAAAATCATGACAGGGGCGATACTTTGATGAGCTTCGCGACGGCTTCTACGGCACAAGCGCTCACGGCCGCCTGCTACTGCGCAACTAGGACACAGCACAGTTCATCAAGTCACATGACCGTGTCAGGACCCGCAAAGGATGCGCGCTCGCATTCGCGTCTTGCCCGAGACCACAACCAGCTTGAACACCGCCACGACACTTCATATTGAGATGGAAATCGATATGCGCTCCTCGTCCTTCCTCTCACCACGACCCATGAAACGCTCGCGCTCTCCAGACGGCGACGACGAGGCGCTAGGCGCGCCATCAGCAGTCAGTCGCCACTACTACGCCCATCCTGTGATAGTATTCTGACGCTTAGACGCGCTCATAGAAGAAGCGCCTATCTCTCGCGACGGCAAACAGCAACGATATGTTTAGCATGCCGATGGGAGTGAACATGTTCGCGTTCCAGCAGCCCCAGAGCTCGTCGCCGGGCATGGCACCGCCTGGTCCGAGCATGGACGAGCACTGGGTGGTGCAGACACGAAGGATATCTATCTCACGCCAGACGCCTCCAGAGGACGATATGATGGTGAACGACTCTCTGCCTATGTTGATGTAACACCATGACTCAGACGTATACGCGCAGAACACGGACCCAGAACCCATGCAACCACAACCAGCACAAACGCAGACGCCCGGCATGCAACAACAACAACAATTCCCACAAGCACAATATCCGACAGCACCCGATATTCAAGTCATGGGCGCACCCTCATACCCTACACCTGCTCCCAGTCCCGGTCCCATCACTCTGCCGCCTCTGCCGCTGAACCCGTTTCTGCGAGCGGAACATACCTCTGCCCACACTCCGCCCATCCAGTCTCTGATGCTTCCTCAACAAATACCCCAACAACAACGACCACGTTTCAGCATGGGCCCTCGCCCGAACTGCGATCTCTGCCGGCGGCGCGTCGAAGGTCATTACGCGCACGTCGACTAGTACGACTGTCCTCGTCCATTCCATATACGCCCTCCTAGTTCTGGATTGGTTCTCTTGCATATTACCTCTGACTTGCTCGCTACGCTACATCTTGTTTCCACGCATCAATACCTCACGCACGCAATCCGGATCGTTGACCACTGTACATCGCATCGAGTATTGACATCGCGCTCTAATAGTTCTGCTCTGCAATGCTATGAGGATGACAACATAGCTGCCTAACAGTCCAGACCGTCATATCCTTCTCGAATTCTTCCTACATCAGGCACTGTCAAGACAAGTTCTCCCTCCTGGAAGCGTGATGACCACGCGCTATACGTGGAAGTTGTTCGACTTCCACGACCACCCTATTCGCTCACGTCTCTGTTTCTATAGGTCGTCATATCCCCGTCTATTCTGCGCATCATATCTCAAGGTGATTTGTTTGATATTCATCTTGCGAAGAGGCTGGCTTGTGACTGAATCGGAAAGCGTAGTGCCACACTCGCAGCGCCTGTTTGATTATCTCAACGGCATCCATAATGACAGTCGCGGCACGTCTTCGTTCAACGTTCGACTATGGCCTCTTCATGGGTCTATCTCCTCGCACATAGCCCGATAGTCGAGCGGTGCAGCACACCTACAGCCGAGCATGCCGTCGCTCTTGGTGCGCGTCCGCGAACACTTACACAATGGCCCCGCCCCCAACTCAGACAGAATACGTGTGGTATTGACGTTGAGATCACCCGCTCGCTCCTTCCCCCGAAGATATCGGGGCTGTACCTTTCGTTCGTACCATCCGCGAGGGCTACTACGACGTGGGAACCTTGATACTACTCCCATGAATTCGCATCCGCTAACAGGTTTGTCGGCGTAGGTGCCGGAGCTTTGAAGATCTGCAATCGCCGCTTGCGCAGTTCATAAAGCTGGTCTACAATGCTACACCGACGCAGTCTTCGCTTCCCACGTACGACAGATCACTGGAGAAATAGACCTTCACATGTGAAGGTAAGGTCTTAGAGGGCCGTTGTACCGACCAGTACAATGCTTGCTTACTGATCATGATACGCAGGCCATTCAGAAGAGGCTCACGAAACCGAGTCGCGTTGACGGCACCCGTGCCGCCCTCGCTCTTTCTGCATCAACGGTGATTTTCAAGCGTCACGTCAGAGACAGCAGCTGTCACAAGGCCCTGCGAGCTCAGGGCACCGGGACAGCAACATCTCACCTCACCGACGCCTGGAATGTCGAGGCGTGCTTCTTCGGTGCTTCGTGCTCCGGTGACCGGCAGCCCGTGGATCGCTTCCCTGTCTCTATCTACGCTGATCCTATGTAGAGAGACTTGCACCCCCGTGGGTGTCGACTCCCTTGCGGTGAGCATCTCATTGCATGCCTCTACTTGACTGAGATGTCGAATCCGCCACCACATAGGTCTTCGACTCCATCTCGACGGATGGTACAACCGTCGGCCAGCAGAACTCCGTTCAATGTGTATCAGTCAAAACCCCGGTCTTCGCACACGCAGTGCTCGCATACAGCACGAATGACAATGCACGACGCAGTTCTTGTATCTACAAGACTGGACCGGATCCGACTCGTCCGTCCTTGTCACACGCCGATGCAGTCTGCCCGTACGGAGTCAGTCTTCCGACACCTCCATCGCAAACGGGAGACTTGCGGTCGCGGTAGGCAGTACGCCTTGTGATCGCTTTGCTCATACAACCGGACTTTTCACTCCTTCGCTCGCCGCCAATGTCGGCAGAAAACTCGCAGAGGCGTGCATGATCTATCCACAAGGATACTCATTGTGGCACGGCATACGCCTCGTCATTGGACTGCTGTTAGTTAAGGCTTACAAGCTACAAAATTAAGAATATCAGCCTTCAAGCGAATCGTATCCGCCATCTCTGAGCCTCCGCGACCATTGGCACCGGAGCTCATAATGCGCGTCTACAACGCAACGCCGACGCGGTTACCGCGAACCACGGAAGGCTCCTTGCTAGAGGGATTCGGCTGGTCCATCACTCAAGTGTACGGTCTCGGATGACCGTTGCCCCAGATGACAGATCGCATGCACGCTGGTCATGAAGCACAGGAAGTTCGGTGTCTTTCAACTAGGTCAAATTGAACTGACAGAGCCGATGCCTGCCCCCGGCCCTACTCTATCTCATATATAATCCACTGGGATAGAGCGTCAATCTCCAGTCTCTCCGGCTTTTTCTCTCTCTCCCTCTCTTTATTCACCGTTCCCAGTTATGATCGCCACCGCAATTCTCCTCCTCTCGCTCTCTCTTTCTGCTTCTGCCGCGCCTTCCCGACGTCAGTCTGGGGACAACGGCTCATGCCAAGCTCTACAGACAGAGTGCGCCGCGACGGTCAAATCGGACCTTAGCGATGCCTGGAACATCAAGGCCTGTCTCTTCGGCGCATCGTGCTTCGGAGGCCAACACCCTGTGGACGGTTTCCTCGCCGCCGTCTACGGCGACCGTGGCGAAAGCGGCTCGGCCCCCGCGAGCGTCGACCTTCCGCGCGTTACTTCATCGGTATGGCTGTTGCAGTCCAGGTCCTCAGATCGTACCTAATCACCGACAGCTCTTCAACTCTATCTCAACGGACGGGCAGACCGTGAGCCAACAAAACTTCATTGATGGCTACTACTCGTAAGTGCTCTTCATCGTCATGTCTCCAGTACGCTTACTCAGAGACCGGGTTAGCGCTCTTGACGCCACCGGTGGTCCCTACCCGACTGATGTCTCGTACGTGATCGACCTCTTCGGGCGTGTTCAAGGTTGGACCGCGTTTTGCTCGGAGTCCGTTCCCTTCCAGAACTTCGCAGACTACGTGAGTGAGCACCGTCGTCGTCGTCTACTTCGGCCCTGACGAATCTTTTTCAGTATCAGTACTCCTCTAGCGTAAATAGCGCTGGCTGCTCGGCCGCCGCCAAGCGTGAAGTTGCCGCTGCCACTACCTCGGCCGCACCTGCTGCAGCGACTACACCTGTCGTCAGCTCCGATGCGTCCTGCCAGAAGATGTTCACCGCCTGCATCGACCAAGTTGACCAAGACGTGGCCAATCCATGGGCTGTCGAAGCTTGTGTGCTCGGCGCAACGTGCTTCGGCGGTCAAGTGCCTGTCGATGGGTTCCTCTCTACCGTGTACAGCCAGAAGAACCCGTCCTCCACCGTGACAGCTCCTACCTCGATCAACGAACCCCGCCTTGCCACGTCTCTTTTCGCCAGTGTCTCCACAGATGGCCAAACTTGGACGCAGCAGAATTTCGTACGTCTCCAGTCCTTCCGCCGCACAGCAATGATGATCGTGCTGAAACATGCAATCCAGATCGATGCTTACTACGGCACCCTCTCAAGCGTTGGCGGCCCTTTCCCTGCCAACTCGGACCTGGTCATCAGCTACTTCGACCGCGTTTTGGAGTGGACGGCGTTCTGTCCCGGTCAAGGCATCCCATACATGAACGTCGCTGACTACGTATGTTGCCGCCTTTCGATGATTGCACAGAACTATCAACTCATCTCGTGTCATAGTTCCAGTACTCTGCTACCGTTCAGGGAGGCAGTGCCCAGTGCAACTGAGCATCGTCTGTACTTGCCGACGCTATCCCTACGTCCGAGCCCCCGAGGACGCTAACTAGTTTCCCGTTTTGGACTGATCTTATCTTGGACATTCATGATTTCGGTGGTGCAGGTACTCTGCCGCCTCCTCGCTCGTTTTCTCCCTTGTCGTAGTTACCTCGCTGACCATCATGGTCGCTTAATGTTACATCGTTGTTCCCTTCCTGTGATCTTCGTCTTGCCTCTGAGATTCTCATAGCCTAGGCGCTTGCCGAAACCCCGACCAGAGAACTTTCACTACGATGCCGCTAATAAGCCTCCAAAAGTCTGAAAAGACCGCTTTCTGGGTAACGTGAACCAGTCATTGCACTTTACGCCTGTCAGACCCAAGTCAGGAATGCATCGAGTTCCGCCGCCGGGTCCCCCGTGGGAGATCTCCCGGCAGACGCCGGGTTCTAACTTTAGCAGTGACGACGCGTACAGCGCGCACGTTCACCAACGTCCCTCCGGTCTATGCCTGTTTTATACGCACATCTCTTGCTCGAGCTCCCTGCCGTGTGCTGCACGATGGTTGCACAGCTACTCTATTCGCGTGACATCTCTGAGGCAACTGCCATGACCGAATTAGGCCGTACTTACGGAACGCGCTTCATCTCCATCTCAAACGGATACTCTTCGGCTTCAATAAGCAGTACACCTTATGGCCGTCCGGTTCACCAAAGCGTGCTCTCCGCCTCCTTGCACTGGGTGATAGCTCCAAGTAATAGGCCATTCGACCCTCTGCGACAATGTGCCACGTTTGCCAACATACGTTGACTTGCACAACTGGGCAGTAGACCCATCATCGAGGAATGGGTGAAAGATATTGCTCCCGCATCTGACGCTCGCCTACAATGCAACGCCGCTACTGTTGCCGTCAAGCATGGACGATTGGACACTGCAGCGTTAGGAATATCATCCGACCCGCCATCTCAATCGCGCGGCCTCGTATAACCGTTGTTTCAATGAGATCGCTCCTCATGGGCGGGAGTGTCTCTAAGCACAGGAATCTGTACCTGCTCATGGGGTCGACTCCCCGAGAGGACAGGCGCTTATACGAGAACCCGCACGGTATAAAGGTGCACCAGCTACAACGCATAACTTCAGCCTTCCTGGCCTTTCTCTTCTAGTCCGCTATCTTTGTCATGATCGCCGCCACGATTCTCGCGCTTTCTCTTACCCTATCTGCATTCGCAGCTCCCTCTAAGCGACAGTCTGGAGACAACGGTTCATGCCAGGCTCTACAGACCGAGTGCGCCGCGACAGTCAAATCGGACCTCAGCAACGCCTGGGACCTCAAGGCGTGCGTCTTCGGCGCCTCGTGCTTCGGTGGCCAGCACCCCGTGGATGGTTTCCTCGCCGCTGTCTACGCTGATCGCGGCGAAGGCGGCGCAGCCCCCAAGAGCGTCAACTTACCGCGCGTGACATCCTCCGTAAGTTCTTCGTAGCACATGCATGTTGGTACATGCTTAACTGGATGTACAGCTCCTAAGCTCGATCTCCACGGATGGAAAAACCGTGAGCCAGCAGAACTTCATCGACGGCTACTACTCGTGCGCACTCGTTCCTGTATGAGTGCAGTCTCAACGGTACTGACACGGTTTATCCAAGCTCTCTCGACGCTACCGGTGGCCCTTACCCGACCAATCATTGTCGAGTACGTGATCGAGCTGTTCGGACGCCTTCAGGACTGGACCGCTTTCTGCTCTGCATCTATACCCTTCCAGAACTTTGCGGACTACGTGAGCTGTCATGGCGCAATCAACATTATGAAAGCTGACTGGCTTGTAGTACCAATACTCATCCAGTGTTGACAGTAGCTCATGCTCTGCTGTGACTGCTTCTGCTACTGCGACCGCTTCAGGCTCGGCAACTATCACGGCCACCCCGACCTCAGTTCGCACTTCATCTGCTCCCGCCGCTACATCTACCACCGTAGTCAGCTCCGACGCAACCTGTCAGAAGATGTTCACAACCTGCGTTGCACAGGTCGATCTGAACGTACAGAATCCATGGGGTGTTGAGGCTTGCATCCTCGGCGCCACATGCTTCGGCGGTCAGCGCCCAGTCGATGGCTTCCTGTCTGCTGTCTACAGTGCAAAGAACCCGACTTCCATTGTGGCCGCCCCCACTTCCATCAATGAGCCGCGTTTGTCGACAACACTGTTTGCCGGGATTTCTACGGATGGTAAAACTTGGACGCAGCAGAACTTTGTACGCTCTTCCGCTTTTCGAGTGCGAAAGCTGAAGACTGATATACATATACGTGCTAGATCGATGCCTACTACGGCACGCTCTCGAGCGTTGGTGGCCCATTCCCTCCCAACTCTGACCTAGTAGTCAGCTACTTCAACCGCGTCCTGGAGTGGACCGCATTCTGTCCTGGTCAAGGCATCCCGTACATGAATGTCGCCGATTATGTGCGTCATTACTCCTCACATCTCGAAAGTATGCTTCGCTCACCCGTCGCACAGTTCCAGTACTCTGCTACTGTCCAGGGAGGTGACGCGCAATGTAACTAAGTCAGTATACCCGAGCGGATTCCCATCATCTTCTAGGACTAAACTTTCCGTGCACTCGACTCATCTTGGACACTTGGACTCTAGTATTCCACGCGGTGTAAACATGCCGCCTCCTCGCTCTTTCCACCCTCGTAATAGTGTCCCTATCATTCATACCAGTCTTAAACCAATAATGCTATACTGCCGTACTTGAGCCCCTGTACGTCTGTTGGATGGGTTCACATCGGCCGTCTCAAGTTGGCTGTGAGTATACGGCGTTATGAAGAGTCAGAGCCAGTCATGTACATCTATCGGGCCGTGCGCCAGAGGGCTGGGTGACGCCAATCGTCCGAAAATACGTACGTGCGTGGTAAAAGTGGCGGCAGATGCCGAATTCCGACGTTCCGTCGTGATGTGCTGTTGCAGACGCCCACCACGTCTGGACGATGCACGTTTATCGCTTCACCATAGCAGTAGCTGCTCTGACTCTAACACGCCACCAACTCTCCCACGTACATCTATCCTGCGCACGAGGTTGAACACATGAGCTGAGGCATCGCGCCGCAGAGGACCTTGGGGCACCATCTCAAACTCGAGAAGCAGATCAACTTGACGTCCCCACATGGCCACCCGGTCCGAACTATTACACTGTTTGACCACACCATCTAGCTATCACCGCTCTTGCAGCGGACTGTGTGCGATCCGCTAGCTTTCCTAGTTACGGAGACATCGCGCATGCTGTACATATCTCAGTTTCTGCGGTGTACATCGCCAATCCCGTGAGTCTCAGTGGGAGAGTCGGATTAAGCTCGCACACATCGCTCCCGCAAACTTTTTTGGCGCTCATCTGCAACGCAACAGTCAGTGCCAAGATCAATCCTCTGCTCTAATGTTAAACCTTCTCGGCAGCGTTTACGGCCATGGATGACCGCTGCATTGCAGAGCTCGTTCTGTCTGAGCACACCGGCTTCCCAACATAGTCAGACGGCCACCAGGAGCATGATCTGACCACGCTGGGAGGATGAACGCACAGACTGCTCGCGCTATATAAGCTTCAATGTCCACCTCGAATCAACAGTCGACGCAGCTCGTCTACTCGTCTTCCCCGTTCCCATCCCTAAACATGGTTCCTGCATCACTCTTCGTGCTCTCCCTCGCCGCCTCGGCGCTCGCTGCACCCTCTAAGCGCCAGTCTGAGGACAATGGTTCATGCCGCGCCCTTCAGACTGAGTGTGCCGCCACAGTCAAGTCCGATCTCAGCGATGCCTGGAACATCAAGGCGTGCATCTTCGGTGCGACGTGCTTTGGTGGTCAGCGTCCCGTAGATGGCTTCCTTGCCGCCGTCTACGCTGACCGAGGCTTGAGCGGCACCGCACCGGCGAGCGTGAACCTACCGAGAGTTACAACGTCTGTGAGTAAACCGACGGTTATTCTTTTGATGAGGATACTGAATCGTTCGTATAGCTCTTCAACTCCATTTCAACGAATGGGCAGACTGTGAGCCAGCAAAACTTCATTGATGGATACTACTCGTCTGTCTATATGCTGTTGCAATCAGTCCTGTCTTACTCACAACACTCATCAGCTCCCTTGATGCGACTGGCGGTCCATACCCGACCAACCCTCAGTACGTCATCGACCTTTTCGGCAACCTGCAAGGCTGGACGGCATTCTGCAACGCGGCTATCCCCTACCAGAACTTTGCTGACTACGTGCGTCTCTTAGTCTCTAGGCGTATTCTCACTCTGACGATGATATGATCTTCAGTTTCAATATTCGTCCAGCGTCAGCGGTCCTGGCTGTAGCGTCACTGCTTCCGGTATAATCTTCACGCTCACACCTGTTTCAACCATTATACCGTCCACGAGTGCGGGTGATTCCTCCTCGGCCGTTGCCACCTTTACCACGCCTTCTGCGTTCTCTACTTCAATCTGAAGAAGTGGAAACGTCACGCTGAGTATGAACTCGCTCCAGATATTGAGAGTTGGACTTTCGTGGAACTCTCGTGTCGAACTTTGTATCCCTGTCTCTCTTCGATATAGCTGTGTCGCTCTTCAAGTGTACCTACCCTCATGCAACGGAAACAATCCTGCAAATCAGGTGGACTGTCAAATGGTGCATGGCTCCCCGATAGCAGGCGAGAGCCAATTCCCAATTGAGTGGCATAATCGGTCAAAGTATTCAAGACACCTCGGGTCAAAAGGAGGTTCAGAAATAAGCCGGAGAGCATCTCCCTCATGGTGGTATTCTTGCCCTGGTTGTGAGGTATCTCTTCCACATGACATCAGCGTAATGCATTCACATTGCATGCCATGACACATCAAGCAGCTTGAGAGAGTGCAGCCCAATCCACACCACCGCCTTTGCCATACCGCTCTTCGAGCCACTCGTTTGCACGCTTGAAGTGACCGTTACCAAAGAACCCTCGATACGCGGATAACGGTGAAGGGTGTGCAGATTTCAATAGTAGATGCCTACTCTGAGCCATATTTAGCCGCGAGTGGAGCTGGTCGAGAAAAGAGACAACCTACTTCATCGATCCCAACTGCAGCGCATGTCTTTTGCGCGGGCAACCCCCACGCCATGAACACCACACCCCTCTGAGTATCTGACACTCTTCGTGCCACGGCTCTCAGGGCTGCCGTCGTGAACTCTTCCCATCCACGTTTGCCATGCGAATGAGCTTTGTGCGCACGAACGGTGAGACAGGTATTAAGGAAGAGAACACCGCGTTTCGCCAGAGGTGAAAGGTCTCTGCATTAGCCGACGAGAGCTTAGCCTTCGAAAATATAATCAAGTATTCAGGGATCAACTTACCCAGTAGTCGGTACCACGAACGATGGGTATTCGGTCTGGATCTGTTTGAAGATGTTCTTGAGACTTGGTGGTGCTTTCGTCGGAGGGAGAACAGAGAACGCAAGACCATGAGCCTGGTTCACATCATGATATGGGTCCTGCAAATATTGTCAGTATGCGTCCCAGGTGAGGTTGCGCGTTGACGTACTTGTCCAATGATCACCACTCGAACGCCATCCAGAGGCGTCAAGCGAGACCAAGAGTATATGTCGTTCACTAGAAGGTAACCTCTCAGGATTGAATGAGAAGCCGCGAGCTCAGGAAATATGTTGCTTACAGGCAGGATACACTGTCCCGGCGTTCACCTCAGTTCTTAGAAAGGACTTCAGCTAGTGCGCATATGAGCCCAGTCATTCAAAAGTTATACATGACGTAAAGACCTTCGTACCTTCGCAAAGTACGCTTTCTTAAACTCGGGCCGGAGAGTTTCGTACCAAGTTGCGCCCATGGTATCGTGCTCCAGAGTCTCAAGTACCGTGGCCACGTCTGCTATTGGACTACGTGCGAGTAAGGTCCATTAGAATAGAGATACATAGAGCGATATAGATGGGACGCGTACGGGATGGTTTCGCTGGTGGCGATACCAGAAGAAGGCAATGCCAAAGTTCGGGCTTTCTTCGTCGCGACAGGCGCGGAAGTGGGTGGTTCTGCTCGACGGCGTTTGAGAGGTCTTGGAGCCGGCAACTCTTCTTCTGATTCCTCCTCTTCTAGCACAAGAGCTGCTTGACGCGTAGCACCCGCATCGACAGTATCGACAAGCTCTCCCGACTTCAGAGTCGCAGACTTTGAGACCAGAGTACGGGCGCCTGATATTGATAGTTCTCGCGAACGTGCAGCAGCAACGCTGGTAGTACTTGTGGCCATGTACTCCGTAATCTTCTTCATAGTGCTATGTTCAAGGTGGAGAGATGCGACGCGAGTTGGTGGTGAGAGGAAGAGCAGACGCGAACCACGACCGCGAGCCACTCGGTTCACTCGATCAACAGAGCGTCGGCCGATCAACCCGAAGGCCCCTATTCATTGATTGGTGGAATAATCGGTGCATCAAATCTTCCCAGTCTTGCGTGCTGCCATATATACCCTACATACACTGACTGTCATCATAGGGTACTTATACAGACCCTTACGTATACCAAATAAGCCGCACAGTATCTTCCATGCAGATGCACGGAAGAAGTTTGAGTATCGCATATGAATCAAGATCATCGTTCTTCAGGTTATCTACAAACTGCAGTGTGGCAACATCATCCAACGACACCGGTATGCCACTGCCAGCGCCATGAGCCACCGTAGCCCATTTCTTCCATAGTTTACGCGTTCTTGCTCGCCACAAGCTCAACCCCAAAGCTGAAGCTTCTCGTTATGCCCAGCCCAGTACCGAGCGCCCGAAACAGGGTACTCGACAAGGACACGATCGATTGCGGCGAGTTCATCGCTAGTGAGCTTGATGTCGCTGGTCTGGATGTTATCGATGACGCGAGAGGCTTTGCTACACAACGATGTACGCGTTCAGCTTCCTCATACACACCAATGGCCTTTGTAGACAGACTCACGAAGAACCGGGAAGAGGGATGACATGTTCGCCGAGGGCGGCGACCCACGCCAGGCAGAGCTGAGCGGCGGTTATCCCCTTCTTTGCAGCGACAGCCTTGAGGGCTTCGACCAGTTTGAGATTGTTGTCCAAATGCTGCGTAGACATGTCAGAAGGAGTTGCAGGGTCTCCATCCACGCCATAAAGCGGACTCACCTCGCCCTGAAGACGCGTGAGATGCCCACGGTTATCTTTGTCCGTGAGCTTCAGCTCGCCGGTCAGGAATCCGAAACCGAGAGGCGAGTACGCGACAACGGCGATGTCCAGCTCAGCACAAGTAGCAATGACTAGATGGTCCCGTCAGCTCGATCCGGTCACAGGTAAATGGCCATTGTCCGAGTCTCACCCTTCTTTGTCTCCTCTTCGTAAGCCCAAGGACTAACCTCGATCTCGACAGCAGCAATCGGCGCATGTTCATATGCCTCCCGAATCGTCGCGGCGCTACATTCCGACAGGCCGATATGGTCGAAAAGGCCCTCCGAGATGAGGCCCTTGAGCGCCTTCATCTGCTCGGGAATAGGTGTTGTGCGGGAGACCCGCGCGTTTTCGAACAGATCGATCTTCTTAGTGCCACGTAGAGCTTTGACGCAGAGCTCGACGGAGGTACGAAGACCCTCAGGCCTGAAGACGGCTTATCAGTACAGCGTAGGATTGATCTAGACAGTTATCACTCACGAAGGGTCGGTGTCGAAGGAGTTAGGCTTCATGCCTCCCTGAGTTTCAGATACTTCAGCGGCGTGCACAGACAGAGGCGTGAGTGATACCTTACCTTCACGCTGAGAAAGACCTTCTCGGCGTAGCCCGGGTATTTGTCGAAGAAGCGAGCCAAAAGCTCGAGATTCGCGGTTCCGAGATCGTTCGCGTAGAACTGAGCTGTGAGGTACGCGCGTCATCAGCCTGGTGTAGAAGGCAGCGAGACAGCGCGTGGGACATACCGCTGTTCAAAAGCATCTTGGCCCCAGCAGGAACTATGTCGATGGACGCCTTGATCGCTTCAAAGGCTTGTTCGTCGGAAACAGACGTGTCAGTCGCACTACACAAAGCTAGTCAGCGCACGGAGCCTTAGAACGAGCGAAGCGACGTACGTGATCCTCATAAGACCAGTCTGCAGTGGTGATGCAGTCAGAGTTGGTACAGCCCAGAGAGGAAGATGAAGGACGTACGCCAACTTTGGCGACGACAATGTCTTTCGCAGAGCCACCGAGTTTGGTCGTCTGTACCATCGCGTAGTGTTAGAGGCTTGATTGTAGTTCGAGTTTGACGTTGCGACGAGCTGTTGAATCACGAGAAAGGCCCGAATGTCTTTCGACCTTTATACACAAACCCAGAGACAGGGTTACCTATGTTCGTGCACGTGGGATAGGTGGATAGATACTCCATCAAAATAGGTGTCACAGAACGAGACACACATTCCTGCACGGCGAACCCACTCGGCCTCATTCGGCCCGGGTTCGAAACGCGGAAATCCCGCTTTGCCGCCTCGCCGCGTCAGAGTCGACACGGATGTACCGTCTCGCGTCCACCACGGCAAGCACGAACAGCGAGTCTTTGCGTATCAAGCTATACGTGGCGGTTGGTAGCGATGGGCTTGGGCAGCTTGGGACGCATGCGGACTCCAAGGCTTATACCGACGAAAATCGGAGTGATCACACGCGCTTGCTTGTACTTCGGCTTGTCAGCCCGGCATTCGATTGTGTCTACGCTGGCAGCAGTGGTGACGCAGAAGTATATGTCCCCTCAGAGCGTCTCACACGAGCGCAAAGAGTAGGGCGGAGATGATGGTAGCGAAAGGATAAACTTGTCGTCGACGGTCGCGCCAGTGAGGACCGTTATCGGTCCGATCATCCGAACGCCCCTAACTGGAAGACCTTCGAGTTGAAGATCTTGCCTCCGTCCACGAACTTCGAAGTCTCTACGAAATAATGACAGCAGACCTAGCTTCCATGCACGACCCCAATAGCGCCGCCTACAAAAAGGCTCGTCGGAAGTACAATAAGTCGACAAAGGCTCGCCCCGATACTGCTGATCTCGAATGGACACCGTTCCGCGCGGCGGAGAAGAGGTTCAAGGCGCGGTTTCCGCCGCCAGATCTCAGGGAAGATGTCATAGATCTGGCTCTGCTCGAGGACGAAGGCGAGGGAGAGAGGAGGGAAGAAATCGAGGCTGGATGGTGGAGGGGCCGGCTACCACACGAGGAAGAGGTCGTAGAGGTCGGCTTGGAGGGCAGGAGAGGGTACGCGTTTCCGTCGATTCCTGGTACGTTGACGCTCACGGCTCTCCAGAATGAGATCCTCATCACCAATTTAAAGGGCTGGTTCTCCTTCCGAACTTTATCTCCAAACGGCAGCAGAGAGACCTGATACGCTGGGCCCTACGCGATCATGCCCGTCCACCAAACGTCACCAATCTCGACACGCACTACGATATGCCTGAGTTCGGCCTCTGGAATACGTCTGTTTACTCTCCGGATGAAGTCGTGCGGCCTCTTGCTGCGACTTCAACCTCATCATCGACCGAATCATCAGGCCCACGCCCGCTAATTTCCAATACACCCGCTTCACCCGGTACTCTCTCCGAACTCATCGCTGTACCCAAACCTCCCCCTCCACCAAGCTCTAGTGTACCGGCTCTCCCGGCATCTTCGCTACTCTACAAGCTCCGCTGGGCGAACATTGGATGGTTCTACCACTGGACGTCGAAGATGTACGATTTCAGCAAGGGGAAGGTGGAGGTTGATGAGCGCGTACGCGCACTATGCAAGAGTGCGGTGGGTTCTGTCAAGTGGAACAACGTATTCGGTGATGATGAGGAGGGCGACCAATGGGACGGCGGGAAAGCAGATTGGGATATGTGGGATGAGACGTACGGTACGCCAGTTCCCCTCTACAGTCATTCTTCGCGTCTCATACACGCACAGAGCCCGACGCCGGCATCGTAAACTACTACCAAGAGAAAGACACCCTCATGGGCCACGTCGACCGATCCGAAGTTTGCGCCACATCACCGCTCGTATCGGTCTCCTTGGGAAACGCGGCCGTCTTTCTCATCGGCGGGCAAACACGCGATGTCAAACCTACACCGATCCTGCTGAGGAGTGGAGATGTGGTTATCATGAGCGGTCCTCGGTGTCGGCGAGCGTATCATGGTATGCAATACACTCTTCTTAGCACAGAACACATGGCTAATCGAGGCCTGGGGCAGGTGTACCCAGAATTTTGGAAGGCACATTGCCTAAACATCTGAGTGAGGGCTCTCAGGACGAAGATGTTGACTGGGCGCCGTATGCCAAGTATATGCGCACGACGCGCATCAACATCAACGTGCGCCAGGTGTTCCCGAAGGGTTTTGTACCTCCAGTGTCATGAAACCATCGTTGAAACCAGTCCAAGGGTATACTCCGTGCCGCGACTTCGTGAATTTGACGCGCGAGAACGCGAGGACCGGGCGACTCGGTAATGGCAGACGATCACTATCTCTCGCGTGATAGCACCGTGAGCGATGTACTTGAGATCTCGCCTCCGCCACTACGAGGACGCTTCAGCGCGCCAACGATGTAGAGCCTTCTTCTCATCTTGAGGATCTACGCCGATGTTTGCGCACCGGATATCATAGAGCTTTCCCGCCTTGTGTGATCTTTGCGAGTACATCGAGTTGTCATAGATCGCCGGAAGCATCTACATACGTATGGGCGACATGATTGTGATATCGGTCGGCGGGCAATTCGCGGCGGTGCGCGCGACATCATCAACGCCCAACAACACTGGACGGGCTCGACGGTGTAGGAGTGGCTCTTAAGGGCTTTAAAGCCCAGTTAACCATGAGCGCACCATTCATTCTTCTTCCCTTCTCCCTCTTTTGTACTTTGCCCGTCTTTTTATTTTTCTTTCTTTTCTTTCGTTCTCTTCATTGCGTCTTCATGAGGACCTCCGCCTGTGCTCTGATTGCATCGTCCATCTTAACGTACACTACAGTATCATTGGCTTACGCGTGGGGATCTGCCTCCCTTCTACACACTCTTTACTGTACGTTCTTTTCCGGCCTGACGGTACCCAATGTCTAACAAGATCACAGTCATCAATAATGACCCCGCCGGGAACTATGTTGTAGCCGCTAGCATTGACGCCAATGGACTGCCCGTATGTACCCTCCCTCCCCTCTCATTGCTCTGCACTGGAGCTAACGGATTCTGTCTAGACTGGTTCCAGCGCGACGCATGCAGGAGGCGTAGGGGTGCATGGCATGGGCTCTTTCGGTCTAGGCCCTGATGGCACCTTCTCGCAAGGCATCGTCCAGGTACACCAAGATAACGACTGGCTAGCTACAGTCAACGTACGTTCTTCTATAGGATGCTCTTCTTGAGATTGCGAGCTCACCGTGACCACTGCGCAGACCGCGAATCATACCGTTGTCCTCTTTGGCATAGACCCCTACGATCCGTTACGCTTGACGATGATTGGGAAGCCCGTCTCGACTCAAGGCGATTCCCCCAACTCTGTGGCGTTCAACGATGCTGGCAACAGGCTTTGCGTGCTCAATACGGGAACCACCAACGGCATAGCGTCAGTATCCCGTCTTCCTCCTTTGGACCATGAGTAATGCCGGCTGACCCGGCGGATCATCAATCATCTCACAGGTGTTTCGATGTTACCAAGACCGGCCTTGTACTCCAGGAGGAATCCGTTCGGAGTCTTGGACTTGCCCTTCAAACTGTACCTGCGACCGGCCCTTTCAATACTGCCTCCCAGATCGTTTTTACGCGGGATCAAAAGAACATACTCGTCGCTGTGAAAGGCACGCCAACCGAGCCTGGATTCTTCGCCGTGTGGCCGATCAATGAGTCCACTGGTCAACTCGCAGAGGAGTATACGCGCATCCCAGCACCACCTGGAGGAGGCTTACCTTTCAGTCTTAAGCCGATCCCGGGTACAGATTCGTTCGTAGGAGCAGACTTCGCAATTGGATACGATATTATCGAGTTCAACAAGGGGGCTACTGACTTGACTGCACGCACGAAGGCGCTCCCTATTGAGGGTCAAGTCGGCGCGTGCTGGAGCACGTACAGCGCGGCGCGCGATAGTTACTATATCGTCGACGTCGCGGGCGTCGTAACCGAAGTCAAGGTTGATACCCAGCTCAGGACGTCGACCGTTAACGTAGGTCCTTCAGTGGTGTTCGTCACCGTTGAGGCTCGACTCATGATCTTGTGTACATAGAACTTCACTGTCCCGGCTCCTCCGATCGACTCGGTCGCCCTTGACATCGGCAGGAAGAGGTCAGTACTCCGCATCACTTCTCACGACGCCTCGAACTCTGCGCTCAACATCTGATCCAGCTACTTCTACACGCTCCTCCCCACGTTGCCCGGTCTCGGCGTCTGGGATCTTGACGCGAAACCAGCACCAGAGATGGCATCAATAGTCAGCCTCGCCACTCTGACTCAGGACCTCGTACCGCTGAGTGAGTATTGATCTTGCATCTTTCGTCTCAGATATTGACATCTCGTCCAGCTCCTGGATACGTGCAAGGTATGGCTGCATATACGCACAAGGTCTGATTCATCTTCGGCCCATGGGGAAGGATATCATCCGCGGCAACGTCGTCTTTCTGCGCCGGCGGGCTATTCCATCGGCGTTTCGGTTCTTGGGTCTTATTGCATTCATATTGAGGATGGGTGCTGCGTACGAAGAATGAACGCCGTGTATGGGTTTTGTCAGATCAGTAGAAACTGCAAGAGCGCAACATGGCTATGCAAAGCTCGATGTCTGCAGGGCACAAGCGCGCAGTGATAGAGCATCGACGACGCGGTGAATGGCGAGTAGAGAGTCAATGAATTCCATAAAGAGACCGGCGTGTTGACGGGATGAGCGAGCACGGGGCTGTGCCACGGCTGACCGCTGTCGCAGATATACGGCGGGAAGAAGAGCGCTCGTCTATTCAAGTAGCCGCTGAGCGCTGAACTTGAGAGCCGTGTGCAAAAGACGCGTGGACAGTTCGCAAGTGGAGTGATCGCGTCACGCCGGCGGAAACCGGGCCGCACGAAAACTGGCAAGGCGATTCGAACTGGCTGTTGAACCATATTCTTGTTGTTTCTTGGAACTCGAAATCCTAAGCCCGAGCCTTATTTACAAAGAGAACCAGCTTACCTCTGCCAACTTTTACCTATTTCCGCCCATCCAACGTTCGACTCATCTCTGACCGCCACCCCGTCCTTTGGAGGTCGGCTGTATGCTCATAGACCCTTTGAACCGTCTATACTCCCGTACTCCTACTTACTCTCATTCTCTAGAGCCAAGGACGACCGTCAAGCGCGAATCCAACGCCGAGTTTATGTCATGCTTGCCTATCCCGCGACGGCCATCGATCGATTACTCCATGTCTGAAGACCATCAACGCACTACCATCGTACTGTTCGGTCAGGTAAAGCGAAACATCGATCATATTGGTTGAGTGGGGGTTTACATGACAAGATACGAGAAGTGAGCCGTCCGTGTACGAGCTCTTTATACAAAACAACAAACTGATACAGTCCATACGAATTCATAGCATTCATTGTCCTAGGCGGCCAAGCGCGACGGTCCTGCCTTGGCGCTTCCAGATCCGCCCTTCTTCGCCTTTCCCTTCGCCTGCGCCTTTCCCGTCGCCTTCGCCTTTCCCTTCGCCTGCGCCTTTCCCTTCGCCTGCGTCTTTCCCTTCGCCTTCCCCTTTCCTGTTCCCTTTCCCGGCACTACGCCCGGGTTGTTGGCCTTCCACTTCGCGCATGTCTTCCGGTGGCGGGTGAGGACGTCCTTCCTGCAGAGAAGCTCACCGCAATCGTTGCACGGGACCTCGAAGAGCTTCTTGCCCTTGGGACGGTGCGTGTCGGTGTGGCTGTTGAAGCGCTGGCGCGACTTCTTCTCCCACGCGGGGCAGCCGTCAAACTCATAGCCCGAGTGGAACCTGCAGTGGCGATACGTGCAGACGAGCCACCCCTTGGGCACCTTCCTCTTCATCGGGATCCAGTCGACCGGAGAGCCGACGAGGGGGCCAGTCGCCGCCCGCGCTGCACTGGAGTCCTCGAGCTTTACTTCGAGGACGTCGCTGGCGAGGGCACCTTCCATGCCGGTGGCGCCAGTGGATAAAGCTTTATGTGATTTCAGGTCTGCGCGCGGGGCGCCAGCCTGAGGCCTCTCGGCGGTGTGCGGCGTGTGGCGCACGCTCACCGGAGTGATGTTGCGGTTGCGGCGGGGAGCTGATGGGAAACGG